GGGGGGGGGTCAGCCCCATCTTTTGTACAATTTTAAATCCTCACCACCTAGGGATGCTTCCAGCCAAATTAAGTTAAATTCCTATCAGTGGTTAAGAAAAAGAAGTCGTTTATAGAAATTGCTGACGTACCAACGATGGATGCCACGGTATTGCATAAGCTCACCTTGGTCCTTCAGACCAGAGAACTAAACACGACTGCAACAAATTAATCTTCAATTTGTGTCAAAGTTTTATTATTAATTAATCTCAAACAAATATCTATAATCACAAAAGATTACTTCTTTCATCAAAATCTGATATATAAAATGTTCATTTATGATCACACAAGATATGATAACATGTATAATGTTTTTTTACGACTGCACAAAATCTGATCTGATAACATGTAAAACATTTCATAATCAAGTAAGATGCCATTCAGCAAGATCACATAATGTACAATTTGTACGATCGCACCAATTAAATCATTCAACACAATCAGATAACAGTAATACTATATTGTCAAACTGTATACATTATGACACATTGTATATTTTAACAAGAATAAAAAAATTAACACATTGCTACACCAATCAACTATACTCATTGTTGTAGATTTGTTTTAAATTGGTATAAATAAACCAAATCTTGCATATCAATTTGAAATGAAACATGCCCGGTAAAATTACATACATTTAAATTGATATTATTGACCTAAATCTCTGAATATATAAATTTAAAATAAGATGCCTGGTACAATTTCATATATACAGTATTAATTACACTTCAAATTGATGGATGAATTTTTATATCAGTGGGGCACCTTCACAATGTAAGTTTATTTGATGCTACTGTACATGTAAATATGACTTAATGCAAGTCCACTTGTCACAATCACTTGCTCTCGCAACATCTACAAGACAGGGGGAGTACAAGACTCACTAATCTGAAGAAAGTATACCGTAATGATTGACCAGTATCTGGTCACCACAACCGGTCAAATATTTTGGTTTACCCTTTTTACATATACAGACAACCTATCATTCACACTGACCAGTCTGTGTATAGTCAAGTTATATTAGGAGCCTGAAGGTTTTAAGACAGCTCTATATCAATTACATATATAGAGCTTTGACAGTCCAAAGACTCACAATTTCATTCTTCGAGTGTTCCACTATCGACCTTATAATGTCATCCCAAAACATTTCATTATTGTAATTAATTTTATTGATTGTGTATGTTATGTCACGTTTCATTAATGTAATGATACAGAAAAATATTGGCAATATAATGTTCAAAATATCTGTTTTTCTGATTACCAAAGTATTGTGGCATATTTCTGGCATCGACATTCAACTTACGAGTTACCTACATCAACATAATTTTTTTAAAGATCTCGACATAATCTGAGAAGATGTCGTAGATTATGTCGACATCTCGTAAGTCGAAAGTTGATGGCAGAAATATGCTACCACACCACAGATATCAACAGAAATAGAATAGTTATGGTGTCCTTAAGCTTGGCATCAGGCTTCCTGTGAGTCAGGTGTCTGTATAACAGAGGTTTCATTATACAGATCCATACAGTACCTATTGACAAGGTCTTTAGACAACCTGTGTAAATAAGCCAAAACCAAGCAAAGCCCTACCTCTGTAACTTTATACATAAGTATAAGTGTTGTAATCAAAATATCTAGAAATCTAAACTTAACTTTAAAACTGATTACAATCTTGAATTCTCATATTGTATTTTTAAGTCTAGCAACAAATCATCTAATTATTGACCAGATTTTATACACAGCTTGAGAAAATTTCATTTCATTTAATCTCCTACCATACCATATACTATCAACAGTACTAGTGTAGATCTATGGATGAAAAATATATGGCAACGTTGAATAAACCATTCAAATCTTATTTCCGAAATTCTCTTGACACTTCTATATTTAATGGAAATTTCAATGCAAACAATGTACATGATTCTATTGGAATTTTGACCTACTTAAATTACACAGGTTGCAAATTACGTAATTTTGACCTACTTAAATTACACAGGTTGCAAATTACGTAATTTGGACCTACTTAAATTATATAAGTTTTTAAAGCATACAGTATGGGCACTTCATATCAGTGCTGACTTCTACAACAGTTTCCCCTTTAAGCATTCTGACAGTTAGTGGACCTTTTTGGTATCATGACTCCAAGATGGCTTCCGTTTCTCTATGAAGGCCCTGATGCCCTCCTGTCCGTCACCGAGTGACAGATTCTCGACCATGACCTTAGATGTCAACCTGCGGGTGAGAAGGATAAAAACTGCTGGTGATCCTGATACAAAACAGAACAGTAACATTGCTGAAACAACACTTAAACTGTGAGACTGATGTTACATCATGTACGAGCTAGGGTAATACAGTTCAGCCACTAAATCACTGAAGTGTAGCCTGTTTGTTGAAAAAAGTTGGGACTGTTTAAAAGACGGCGGCTGCCAAAACAAGTAGAAGGTGAGTACTCTGAACATGTTCATTTTTTTTTACTTGAAAACTTTTACGCGATCGATCAACAGATGCTTTGAAGCAAAAGATAATAAATCAAAGTGTAATAAAATGCTAAGATTCTACTCTAGAAGAATCTATCTTAAAGTACAGTGTTTGTAAGGTGATGGGAGCCGTCAATTGGGACGTTCAGTCAACGACAAATTTGAATTTACTCAAAAAACAGGTTCAAATTTTTTCAACGTACATGCTACACTACAGTGCAAACTGTATTGCTGTGGGGGTGCTCTTTTCTTAGCTTCTTTGATGATGCTGTATATATACCAAACAGACCTTAGGGTATTTTTGTATAAATCTCTAAAATCGCTTTGAAATTCAAACCAAATCACAAACAAGAGCTGACCTTCTTGTTTTGAAAAAAAAGGCAAAAGAACAGCCAGTTTTAAATAAGTAAATCTACCCCAATAACCAACATCTAAAAAGTCTAAATGTATGTAGAAGTTCATCCTCTTGGTCTCAGACTTATGTTCATGTTTATATATGGCAAAACCAGACAAAAAAGGATCCCAGAAGTATGTTGAGTAACATTAATATTGACTTAATGTACGAGGCCTATACAACATGTGTGGTACTGATAGGGACTACATACGTGTAGGCCTCCTTCCTCTCCAGGTTCATCTGAGCGTAGAAGGTAGCCTTGCCTAGGGCCACCACACTCTTACTTGTCTCACATATCCTATTAGCTATCCCCAGCGTCTGTAAAACAAACAGTTCAAACCAGCAATTACAAATAAACTGTTCAACCATACTTATATTCTAGAAGATGTCATCCTTTAAAAAATTCAAACATGAAAAGAAGGTAGGTTAATCAAGTTCAAAAAGACTGAATGCAAGTGTTTTATGCTAAAATGTAGCTTTATTAAGTTAAGCTTATTTCAGCATCAGTATCAGGTTGTCTTAGTCCAGATATCACTATGGTCAGGAAAATTATATCTAAAAAGCAGTTTCAACATAAAAGTATACCGAACCAATTTTGAAATTCATACCAAATCACAAACAAGAGCTGACCTTCTTGTTTTGAAAAAAAAGGCAAAAGAAATTATAACTGAAAGAAATAGAATGACATGCACTTTGACCCCCTGCTGTGACCTTGACCTTAGGATACGACAATGCCATAAGTTATATGATATTCCTAGAAGAAGTTATAAATAACTTTCGTTCCTATAGAAGGCACCTATTTTCAAGAGAAAAAACAAGAAAATGCACTATTTGTCTCCAAACACCAACTAACCACAGACTTTATTTTTATTTTTCCGTTTTATAGGTGGGGATTATTCTAATTAGAACGACTTAACCATTCAGAAACTGCTTACCTATGCATATGATTACTACGTAAAGGACCTGCCTTTGGTATGGTAGTGTAGAAATGTTCATTTTATAACTTCTCACTTGGTTTTTGATTTAGACTTTTTATTCCTACAATTTTCTCTGCAGTCAGTAAATCATATTTATAATGAGATATATATATATCATTATCAGTAGAAATATATATTGCATAGTGTATGTGATTGGTACACTGATAAAAATAAACAAACAATAAGACAGAGTTGCTAGCACTTTTGTCCAAGTAATTATATCAGGAACCCTATCATATGGGTAAAAGCACTAGCAGTGTTTTTGATTCCTTCATTTTGCAACAGCCTAGTCCTTTATGAAATGAGAAAATATAGCATTATTTGTGTAGAAATTGGGAATATATTCCTCAAGTTTTGGTCATTTCTTTTTAGCTAGGGGAAACAGCCTGAATTTGGCAGTAAAACTGAGCAAACAAAATTCACTGACTAGCAACTGAGATCTGTCTCCTTTTCTAGTTTGTTTATATTTATTCTATATCATATATTATGTAAAAGTCTTTGTTCCAAACCCACTTCAAACTAGATCCATAGGTCAGGGTAAAACGTTCAGTATGCAGAGCTGTCTTACCGTCTCCTCCAATTCGTCCTCCGGTACCACCCGACTGACTAGTCCATGTAGTAGTGCATCTGTCACAACAAATACAAAATACTGGTTGTAAGTAACTTTTTCTTACAGTGATATAGTGTATGGTCATTCTCCTGTAAATTGCTATTGACTTTAATGGTCCCCGTACCATTGCCCGAAACTGTAACTACACACTGGAAACTGTATATTCTGGTACAATGTATAACTTTGCTTTGATAAATCATTTCTGAAGAGAAAAACATCCTCTTGATATGAGCCATCTCAATATGTTGGCTGTAGACAAGACAGCAAACAAAAGAGTTTGGAGGGTCCAGGGTTCGAACGCCGGTCTTGCCGTGCATTTTTGTAACTAGTTGTGTCTTTGGGGGCGAAAACTTAAAAAAAGGAGGGATGAATGTAGCAGAACTGGACTGGGTCATTCGTCGGCAACCAGGTAGCTCAATTGGTAGAGTGTCCATCTAGAGTTCGGAGGGTACCGGGTTTGAACCCCAGTCAGGCCGGACATTTCTGTAGTACTTGTATACATCACCAACACTTTATGAAATCAAATGACATATTCATAAATATTTTGATTGGAGAAAAAACTGCTAAATTAAAGGATATACTGTTATCAGTAAACCAGTTGACAGTAAAGTCTAGAGTATTGGACAGTGAAGTTGGTACAATGATAGGTGTTTCAATTCATCATCGCAAACTATGTGATTATTAACAGATTAAATTTTCAGGATACTTCCATGTTAGTACGTGACACATTTCAGAATTTACAATTTAAAACAAAGCCCAGAAGTGACCTGCACCTACCTTGAGCAGATATTGGATGTCCCGTGAAAAGCATCTCCATAGCTACCTTCCTGGGCACTGAGCGGCCAACAGCGACAGCCGGAGTGGAACAAAACAGTCCAACACTGACCCTGAACAAAGACAAGGCCAATATCAAAGGACATGAAGAAAAGAGCTTTCAGCCTGAACAAAGACAAGGCCAATATCAAAGGACATGTGGAAAAGAGCTTTCAGCCTGAACAAAAACAAGGCCAATATCAAAGGACACGAAGAAAAGAGCTTTCAGCCTGAACAAAGACAAGGCCAATATCAAAGGACACGAAGAAAAGAGCTTCCAGCCTGAACAAAGACAAGGCCAATATCAAAGGACATGAGGAAAAGAGCTTTCAGCCTGAACAAAGACAAGGCCAATATCAAAGGACATGAGGAAAAGAGCTTTCAGCCTGAACAAAGACAAGGCCAATATCAAAGGACACGAAGAAATAGCTTTCAGCCTGAACAGAGACAAGGCCAATATCAAAGGACACGAAGAAAAGAGCTTCCAGCCTGAACAAAGACAAGGCCAATATCAAAGGACACGAAGAAAAGAGCTTTCAGCCTGAACAAAGACAAGGCCAATATCAAAGGACATGAAGAAAAGAGCTTTCAGCCTTAACAAAGACAAGGCCAATATCAAAGGACATGAAGAAAAGAGCTCTCAGCAAGGTCAGCTGTAAAGATCTATATATATTCATATGTTCATACTCACCAGGGCTGCTTTCATTTTCATTCCAAAGGGTAAAACTGTTAGGACATTTACAATATATAAGGGACACATCTAGCATTTTGATGTTGCTTTCTTGTCAGCCAAGGCAAAGACTTTCAAGGCCTGCATTTACATTGGCATGACTTTACCCCTTACATATTACATTTCAAAACAGATGAACTACTTTCTCTTAGTCCCAGGTAGCTCACTAGGTTGACATTTGTCAAGAGTTCAGAGTTCATAGTTGGGCTGAACCCGTGCATATTGTTGTGCTCAGAGGAAGCAATGACTTACAAAAGGAGGGGGTGATAGCAGACTGGGCCAGATGACTACATAGTACAACTAAAGTAGTTAGAGCATGCACCTTAAGATTAGAGGACTCTGGTTCGAATCCCAGTCTTGACCGGTCACATATTTCCATCTCCTGTTACATTAGCATACAAGTAATATCAAGCTCTGAATCACTTAGACAGCATAATTTTACAGAGTATAACATAAAATGTAACTGAATGAAATACAAAAATTATTTGAGAATCAGTACTTTATACACTAAAATTTGAATGTTTTACGATTCATTCAATGTTACTTAAGCTAAAAGATTATCTTTTAAGATGTACAGAACAGTCCAGTGTAAGAAAGGTCCGCTTTAAAAAAAAATCTATTTTAAACCCCTTTTCATGTGTGTGATGTCACAATGGAAGAACAATCACATGATGTCAAGAAATCAGAAAATTTAGATGCTGCAATGCGGAAATTATGACAATTTATTTTTATTTTGGAGCTAATAGAATGATTGCAATGAAAGAACAAATATTCTTTCATGCCCAGGAGTGTAGGATAGGAAAATTCCACCCTCGGGTTTTACCCAATCTGAAAATCCCTTTGGTGGAATTTCCCTATTCTTCACCACTGGGCATAAAAGAGTCTTATAATCTTACCCTGGAGTAGCAAATCTGGATGTGTCTGTTGCCACGGCCATGTCACAACTAGCCACTAACTGACACCCTGCTGCTGTGGCCAGTCCTATTGTGTAATAAAACAGGAACAAAACACAAATTAAACTTAAACCTCATGTAATAAATTTCACAAGTTGTAAAGCCTAATTTGTATACAATTAAGAATACAAACAAAAGGCCCAATGGGCATGCATCGCTCACCTGGTATTAATATTACATCTGTAACCTTAAAAGTGATCAAAAATAAAGCTACAGGCAAAATATCAGTATTTATGACTATAAGTCATTCAAAACAACATGTTAAAAGATTTTAAAACATTTGACCTCTGTGACCTTGAAAGTCAAACAAGGTCATTTCATTGAACAAACTTTTTAGCCCGTCATCCCAGCATGCAATTTGCCAAATATCACCACTCTAGACCTTTTGTTTCATGAGATTAGGTCATTTCAAGGTTTATACATATCTGACCAAATGTGACATTGAAAATGAGTCAATGTCATTCAAATGACTCAATAGCCCTTCATCCTAATATCATCACCCTGGGCATTTTGGTTATTCAGAAGAAGTTATTTAAAATGTTTACCATATTTGACTCCATGTGACCTTGAATATGAATGAAGGTCATACATTTAAACAAACTTGGTAGCCCTTCATCCCAGCATGCTACTGGCCAAATATCATCACCCTTTATTTGAACAAACTTGACAGCCCTTTATCCCCGTTCGCTTCTGGCCAAACAGCTAGGCCTTTTGGTTATTAAGAAGAAGTTGTTTTAAGTAAAATATTGCCGCTGGACGCCAGATGGACGGACGATGGATGCCGCGCCACGGCATAAGCTCACTTTAATTGGCCCTTTGGGCAAGGCGAGCTAAAAACGTAACAACCTTGTCTCACCAAAAGTATGGGACATCAAAATGTGATAAATATTGTAGAATCTACAGGCCCTTTTTGTTGTAGGCATATGGAGACTACTATGATTCTTGTCTACACAGACCAACTAGGTAGTTTTGCTATTATACACCAACTAAATTTGATAATTATAAAGTAAATCATTCAGTCATGTTTAATAGCTAGAGTAACCAGGGGAATTACAAGAAAACAGCATTGTTTACAAAGGTCTTATAAAACACATGAACTATAAATAAATTACCTGTGCTTAATTAGTAACTTGCAAAATATGACATGAAAACTAGCATGAGTAATGTTTCAAATGACATGACATAAAACCAAACTCAATGACACTCATATAATATATAGAGAAAAAGATGGTGCTTCATAAAACGTGATATTTACTGAAATGTGACATTGCAAGCAACATATTAAGTGAAATCCAAGGTGTTGGCAAAGCTTACCTGATACCTGGGCAATCACTGGTACTGGCAGCTCCTACAAAATAATGGAAGAAGAATCAGAACAATGTTTACAGTACTGATAGATAGTGAACTTTATTTATAATTTAGTACCAACACCAGGTATTTCTTACTAAATCTACCATTTTACTTTTGAGAAATTTCATCTATTAACAAGACTTTAGAGACCCATCATACCTGTATCGTTCAGCCATGCCTGTTGTCTGAACTAGAAAAGAATTTGAAATGTGTTTGCTAACCTCAGACATTGTTTATATGTATGTTTTACCAAATTAATGGTACTGTTCCTCACAGGAAGATAACTCTTACATTCAAAACTTAAACGCCTGCGCGTCTCCCAAACACTGAATGAGAAATGTTCCTTTGGTATGTTTCGTAAACAAAATGAGGCCCATTCGGCCTGTATCACCCAAATATCTCTTTGAATTGTTATCTTCTGTTGTCTAAAAGATGAAATGTTTTGCTAACTTAAGACCATATTCAACATCTTTAGATATGTTATTGACCTAAAGAGATAAATAACAAACAACACTAGTACTTGGAATGGACAATGACAGGAATTATCTGTATGACATTTGGTTAAAAAAATTCTAGAAGATTTGAGAATTGGTCAAGAAATGTCTTAGCCATTCAGAGATCAGGAAAGCTCTTTTAGATTTCAAATCAACCAAAAGATAACAACACTGGTGGAATCTGAAAAGAAAGTGAAAATATCTCAGCCCATCACTGAACAAGAGGCCATCTTTAGTTGCTAATGGTCCAAAATATATCCACAGTTTGTCATTTGCACTTACATATATATGCACCAATAGATCAAAACTACTTTAATTTATTTATAACAAAATCAAATTCAATTATAAAAATAAAAAAAAAACTTTTTTGAATCATTCGATAGAAAACAGCAACCAGGAATTCTTGATTTTTCTCAATTTTTGTTTTTAAAGGATTAGCATTCTCAATATAAATTTAATACCTAATATATATATATATCTGTACTAAACATTACACTTAACAAACAGTTATAAACTGTGGACATTTAAGACAAAATTCATGATGCTTGACACTGGGAAAAAAAGATGTTACAGTTTTGCAACAATCAACTAAAACATGTTTGCAAGCCTAGGCCTTTTGGCATGTCAGAGATTTATAACAATGTGACAAAGAGTTATAAGCATATAAGCATGAAAATAGGAGACCATGAAAAGAGAAAACATATGGTTATGAGACGGAACTCAATATTATACATTATACCTCAGTGGAAGAAAAATCTGCTTAGATTTGACACCCAAGAGGACATTGTTTACATGTAAAAGAAAGATAAATCATTTACATCTTGGCCACTTTGACAGTGTTTTCCAGAATGAAAAATAAACAGTTACCTGAACCATCACCATGACTTCAGTGCAGGTTTGGAATACCTGCATGTGATGATTCCGACCTTCTTTAGTTGTCTATAAATAAAAATCAAAGTACTGAAAGTACTGAAAGCTAAGGCAAAAGTTACACAGTTTTATAATTTGATTTAACCCTTGTACAAAATTCATAAAGATTAACAAGCTGATTGACATTCCACTGCGAACATTCTAAGCACCATAACCCTTTACAAATGTATAGACTGTGACTGCAGACAGAATTCCAGTGTACCGGTAATTGACTCTCCACAATCCCAAGGGAAATGCACATGCAATCTTTGGCTGTTGTAGGTGACAAATTGACCATACCAGATATGCCCTGGACATAGCGACACACAAACAGACTTTCTGATTAACCAACTGACTGACTGAGGGAATAAAAACCTAAGAGTCCCCTGTGGCAGTGCAACAGTGGGGACATATAATAGCAGCCTGATTTGAGTATGGGACATTCTGACACCCCCAGAAGTACTAAAATGTCAAAATATGGTAAAAATAGGTGACAAAGTACATGTATATGAGTCCCAACAAAGAGATGCAGTGAAGGGTCAAATATCAAAATTACACAAATTTAACATACAAAAAGTTCAGTTAATTACACCGAGGTTAATGAATAGACAAAATTGTTTTCCTATAAAAAGGGGCATAACTCCACAGAAAGTATTGAAAAATATATTGATACCTTGCATACTGATGAATTGTATGAAGTTAATTCCTTGAAAGCTATGCAGTATTTTCGTTGAAATCAGGATAATTTGTAAGTAATGATTGAGGAATAACTAATAATAAAACTATATATACATATGGTGTGCCCATTGATAGGGACCGGAGTTTTTCTTTACGAAAAAAAGGCATAGTGTGTCATAATATAGAATTGAACTAAAATAAATAATTTAAAGGCAGATACCACTTTTATTACTAAAACTAATGTGTCTGGAGACAGACAGACAGACAGACAGACAGATGGACAGACAGACAGACAGACAGATGGACAGATGGACAGACAGACAGACAGACAGATGGAAAGACAGACAGACAGACAGATGGATACTGTGATCTGAGTACAAATCAATTTGTCTGTTTACTTTGTTAATTGAGGGGGATATAAACACAGAAAATCCTAATTATGTTTAAAAAGCAAACCAGAAGAAAATTAATTTTGTAGCATGAAAATAAAACACAATTTATTAACTTATCATATAATTACATAATCACTGCATGCGAGTTGTTTTCTTTAACATTGAAACTGTGACAGTCACAACAAATAATTGGTGATACATGTAGCTGATAAAAACAAAACATGTTATTATATATATATACAAAGTCTTACCAATTCCTTCAGATCATGGCCTGCAGAGAAAACTGGCCCTTTAGCAGTAAGAATGATAACACGCAGGTCGTCTGTTTGATGTGACAAATCTGACCTCAAGGCCTCCAGCATCCCCAAAGACAAAGCATTTCTGTAGACGAAAACTGTCTTGTTCAGTATGTTGAGTGTTCAGAAGTATTTTACTATAAATGCGAGGATATGTATAACACAATTAGCAAGGTAAATGCAAATGACCATAGTGTTACTTAACCCTTTCACCCCTATGTAACTTTAATACACTCTACCATGCATTGATCTGGATAAGTCCATTATGATCTATAGTGGTGAAAGGGTTAACAAAAGGATTAAGCACAACAGATATGTTTGGTTTAGATTGGTTTGTTGGTGCTTTTATTATGTCCTAGCTATTAGCAGCTTTGGTTATCTCAAGACAAGCCAGTTTTTGGTGATGGAGGAAAACCAGAGTACCTGGAGAAAAACCACCAACCTGCGGCCAGTACCTGGTGACTGCCCCACATAGGCCCAAACCTGTAACCCAGAGTTGGAAGGCTAATGATCGCTGCTGGACAGACACCTTAACCACTTGGCCACCACGGCCTCCCAACAATAGACTAGACTTTAATTTATGTCTTCTCCTTCACAACAATTTAGGCAAAATAAATGTTTTAGCAAATGGTGTTATCGTCCTGTAATACACATTGTCATTGCTGACAAAACTAATACATGTACATCAGAATGTAAGTAAGACTCTGCTAAGTTTGTCAGCAATATCAATGTGTGTTAGCTATAGAGGACCATTATAATAGCCATGTGTCAAAACATCAATTACGCATATTTTTAAGTTATCATTTCATGAAGCTAGTCCATTCTGCTTAAATGTCAGTTTGTAAAGTTATTTAAAAAGCAGTGAGTGCTGTCATGATCAGACCAGTTATGTCACATTAGGGGTGACCTTACCAACTAGTGTTACAGTCTCATAACATGTATAATCTATTGTAATGCAATGGGAGAATTTGGTGCTTAATCCTTTAAAACATGTAGTTTCATGGGAAAGTATTGTGATGTATGTATACATGTATACCTCTTCTTTGGATCATTGAGACAAATGGTTCTGATGCCTTTTTCCTCTGTAGTGATAGTGTATCCCTTGTCTGGCCTCTGTAATCTTGATCTTTGTGTGGAAAATTGTCTTGTAATCTGTAATTATATACATATACTATATACAACAAATCATAGGTCATAATCTATAATATATATACTAGGTAGTCAGTTATAGTGTAAACAGATATCAATCAAGTTAATGTTATAATTGAAACTCAATCAGTCCATCATGATTTTACAAAATCAATCTTAATTTGAGTCAAGTACACCTGTAGCTGCATGAAAATAAGGATTCACGAATATCAATTATTAGTCTATCATCCGAGTCAATCCATTTGAGATGCTAATATTTTAGTGATATCCGACACTGATAAGAATGGTTTTAAAAAATCCAGGTTCATACATGTAGCTATAAGACTCACAAAGTTAATATACCACCCTCCTTTCCAATTGTTAACTATGCTATAACAACTGTAGTATAAAGCTTAATTTATGTAATGATAGATGCTGTTTCAACTGCATGACTATCTCCTTTTCTAAAAAAAAAAATGATGGGGAGGAGTCATTTATTTTGAACTAAAAATGTTGACAATGGCCCAAAACAGTTTGGAGAAAACCACGAACTTACGTATAACTCGCCTATTATACACCAGTTGGAGTATGGATTTATTACTAAAAATAACCCAAATTGCTTAAACAGTAACTTTTGCAAGATATTATTAAAAACCACATTAATTTACGACAAGGTAAATAATATTTTGCTAAAAGATGTTTACTGAAAGCGTTTACTACTTAGAAACTTGATGTAACTTTACCTGAAGTATTGCATCTATTTTTGGTACTTTCCCACATGCAAGTAAAGTTTATTTTTGCAATTGTATTATGTTTCGTGACTGAATAAATGCGACTTGTACAAACATTTTGAAAAAGTTAAGATTAAAGTGATTTTTGCTATTTTTAGTAACAAATGCATACCCCTATTGGCGTATAATAGGCGAGTTTGCTTATTATACGCAAGTTAGTGGTTTTCCCCGACCTACAAAATGCATGTAAGAGTACATTTATGTACCTTTTCAAATAAAGATGAAGGGGAAGGGGTACTGACAGTGAGGCACTTACAATTTCTGATGCTAAGTACAGAATACCGGTGATAAAAGTCCAATTTAGCATTAACCAATTTATAGCAAGTCTGTTTAAAAACAATAATTGTTGGTTATTGGGGGGGGGGGGGGGGGGGGGTCATAAATTGCTTCACTGTTCAGCGTCCTTGATATGGGCACAGCGCAAACCTTGGCTTAGGTATGGCATCAGTTTAGCACATGCATATTCTAAGACATTTCTAACAGACCCCTGTGGTTTACTTTAATGCCTATTTATGACTGCAACGTATTAAAACAATTTATTTTATTTTCACAAAATTAAAATTTACCAACAATAGCACTGACTTCGATCAGATCGATCTAAGCACAGGGGCAAACAACGATTTATATATGATAAGAATAAAAATAGTCAGAAAAAATACGTAACTGTATGTTAGGTACAGTTACGTATTTTTTCTCATTTTTTTATATTCTTATCACATATAAATCGTTGCTAGCCCCTGTGATCTAAGCACGTACATACTACATGCTAAGAGTAAGGTTCTGCACATGTGAAATGTGAAATCATCTGGTACAGCCTAATGTCAAGTTTCCAAAGTCATGGACTTAATCGAAATATTGGACAGTGCAGTTATTTTATCACACGTGTCCCTGACATTTGATGACACAGTGGCAAAAGGTATATAATTACATTTGCTATCTGTAACAGACGACTTCTCCACAACCTTCCGGCCATCATGTTACAATACCGAACGCCTGATTGAACGACGTCGTTGATTGGCTGGCTGTATTCAAAGCGACAAATCAAATTAACTGATTCATGGTAGCATTTTATTTTCGGAACGCGCACCTGTTACAATGTAAAATTAAGGTATACCCAAGAAACCTTCCGGTAAATAGATAACACACAGCAACCAAGTTGTTTATTGATGGCCGCTACCCACAGGAAAATATTTAGAAGCAGGATTATGTGTCTCTGATCTACGATGGGATACATTAGAATGTCCAGGGTGAAACACTGATATACGGGTTAATTGAAAGGGAAATACTTTGATATTATAGACTCAGGATTTATAAACCAAACCTATTATTTATCATTTTGCACAGCGTCGCACCTTTTGAAACAGCATGGACGCAAAACTCATCTTCGTGACGATGTCATTGATGGTCGCACTTTGCCTTGGTGATTTGGCCAGTAAGTAGACTAAAAATTGTTAATATTTTTTTTAAATGTGCAGACACTTAATGATGTACATTTTTGTAAATAAGCATATCAGAAAGGACTAGATCGATCATGTATTAATTTGTCATATTCAGGATTTTAATATGAAGCACGGTACTGTTTAAACTGTATACTCAGTTAAATTAGCTTGGCATTGGTATTATTTATGTTTTATTTATTGTTAATATGTTTCAATTTTGTTTGCGACTGGACTTTAGTGAAAAAGTGTCATTATACTTTGGATTTTCACTGATGCTGTATATAATGCATAAAGGTTACTGTAATATCTATGACAAGTAACTTGCATTCAGTGTAAGTCATAACACTTTATACCCTTTTGTAGTTTTGGTAGACATTCTTTCTGCGTAGATACTATACAAAGCAATATATGGTTACTCTGTTTTGTGGTTTGCCATGCATGCTTGGGTGTTTAATCTGAACAATTCTGTATATTTTAAACAACCATACTTGTATCACTGGATCAAATGAACATGCTTCATACTTTTTCAAATGACAATATTGGCATAGTAGTAAAAATAAAAATGAGGTTGCAGTTTATATCACAGATATTTTAAATTATCAGTGTAATATAATATGACAAACATTAATCATTTTTAAATTTGTCATATTATATATCGCGATTCACACTGATATTTTATTTACTATCATGTATATATTATCCCCACAAGAATTTGATTCACTTTTCTGTGGTACATAATCACACAGGAATCTGGTTTAAACATAATCAAAAATAAGAGTTTTCATGCTGCATCACCTCTTTACAATAGGATATATTCAAACCTACATGATGACAAAGACTAACAGCAAAAAAAAAAAAAACAACATTTTTTGGGATTTGACCTCCCTATGTTCTGGTGCCCTAACTTAGAGTTTCAGAAATATGAAAAAAATCATTAGATGCAATTAATCTGGGGGGTTTTCTAGAACTATTCTGAAATATTTTTTTTGTTTGTCCTAGTTCACATTCAATAAGTTTTCCTTTCCATTGCTATTTGTCAGCATTATGATATAATATCATGTTATTTTATCTTTGCAGGCGACATCAGCACAAATACTGTTGAGCTTCAATTTTACAGACTTCAGGTTGCTGATGTATGTATGCTTTTGGGGAAAATCATCAACTAAACAGGAAATACAAATATAAATAAATTTTAAATGAAATCCATAATTTTTCATCACTTTAACAAATAATGACTAATGTTTGTAAAGGGTTCTAGAACAGAGGGGTTATTTTTGTATACATTTTTCATAATTTTGTTCTTTATATTGTATTGATATTAATAAAAATAATATACAACATTTGCTATAGCTCCCTATCTAGCTAACATAAGCCACTCTAAAGCGCTTTACAGTACATAGATATGAAATTAATACAATGAGCATATATACAATGTACATTAATCAATACAATTTTATAAAGTTTTGAGGAATTCGCAGGAGCTGCCTTATCAGACACTAACTACTAGTCCTATGCCACCTGGCTAATATCTCCATATGTGTGTATGCCTGAATGTTTGCTGCCTGGAGATGTATTGTGTTATGCACTATAGTGTCATGTGATTTAATTATTCTATCTCTGGTTGTAGTGGGATACACATGGCATGCAGACAAAGGTGGCAGCCATTCTTGCGAGTGGGGCCAACACTTACTGTAGTGCCAACCCTAATACTTGTGGCCTTGTCACATGTTGTACTGGCACAGCGTAAGTACTATATACTGCAAACACAGTTTATATCAGTGGAATTAAATTTTGTGGTCTCCACAATGGGGACACATTCCATTTCAAGGAATCAATGCTTTTAAAATAAAATATATACACATTAATAATATGGTAAGTAAAAAGCTTCAGACAGATATGTAAGACAAAACACGTTGAAATATGTACTAGTAGGTTCAGGTGAGATGGAGAGAACGTTTGTTTACATATACATGTTTACATACACCACAGATATTAAATGGTTATAAATTAGATAGCTTTTTCCTCCAATATTTTTGTGGTCTATAATTTATGTGGTAAACAAATTTGTTAAAATTATATTTCATGGTTTCTCTTAAACCATTAAATAAACGATGTTGAATAAGCCTAGAGGGGCATAACATAATCTCTGACTCAGAGTTGGGGGATGAGCTTATTACAAGACAATGAAATACCATTTGTTGATATTTCCACTGTACTGTAACAAGAGAGGAAAAATGCATGGCTAGACATGGGTTCGAACCCGGGACCCTCCGAACTCTAGACGGACGCTCTACCAATTGAGCTACCTGGTCGCCGACGATCGACCCAGTGCAGTTCTGCTACATTCCTCCCTCCTTTTCCTAAGTCTTTGCCCCCTGAAGACACAACTATTTACAACCCACGTTTGGGTATCCCCTTGCTGTGAAGCATACACCAAGTGCTTGAAACAAGGGTTGGTCACAGGTACCACTGTAACAGGAGACCCGGTCCAGTTCCACTACAGTACTGCAATAAATATGGGTGGGATTTTTACCAGGCATTGGAATATTGCCAGATAAATATATGGTTATATTTTCTCAATATTTTATAAAGGGTAGGCTTTGCCTTGATTCAGCTCTTTAATGCCTACAACACTATACACATTATTCTGTGTTTTATTTTATGGAATAGTTTCAAAGAAATCAACATTGGAAAAGATGCGAACTCTGCTGTAAATGATGGGAAAAACATGTTGTTTAGTTTCTACATCACCATCCCAGACGGAGCATCACTGATGGCCAATGAAACTTACGTCCTTACATCAGCTATCATCATCAGTAAGTAAATCAACAAAATCTGACTCTATCAAAGTACACTGAACAACATCTGACACTGTCAAAGTACACTGAACAACATCTGACACTATCAAAGGACACTGAACAACATCTGACACTATCAAAGTTCACTGAACAACATCTGACGCTATCAAAGTACACTGAACATCATCTGACGCTATCAAAGTACACTGAACAACATCTGACACTTTCAAAGTTCACTGAACAACATCTGATACTATCAAAGTAACAGAACAACATCTGACAGCTGAGAGCATCGCGGACAAGGAACGCTGATAGTCTAAATATCAGAACGCTCACTGGCTCTGCTCTATAGCGAAAGTGCACTAAGACGACCCGCCCAATGAAACACAACGACGGCAGGTCGTCATCATTTGGCGGGGGGTCGTTTTGTTTGATTGGGCGAGTCGTCTTAGTGCACTTTCGCTATAGAGCAGAGCCAGTGAGCGTTCTGATATTTAGACTATCAGCATTCCTTGTCCGCGATGCTCTCAGCTTAATTGCTGCCTTCGGCTGTCTTTATGCGAGGGGACTATTGGTTTAATATAATAGCTATATTTTCAATTATAGTATATCAGTTCTATCTTCTTGTAATATGATGTTTATGTACATGTAACTGTTCTGTTTCACTGTGCCTTGATAAAGGAGCGATCATAAAGGAGCGGATCGCTCCGAGAATTTGACAACCTAAACTTGTCCACACTGTTGGAATTACTTCTTTGCCCAATATATATATGTACACATATATGGACTCTCAACCAAACTTGCTACATGCCTTAGTTCATTGGGATCTGAGAACCAGTTTTTGATCGAAAGGCATATATTAGTTATGGCTCTCATTGGGAGTCAGGAACCACAATAAGTTTTTTTTCTTAATATTTGATGTTTTTTTATGTATATAGTATATATACATGTATTTTAAAATGTATATATAACTTGCAGTAATCAAGATAAAGTTTCTACCACTGGTTTTTGATCATTATGAAACATGAGAATATGATGATGTTGCTGTAAGTACATCCTCGATATCCAGGGGTCACGCTCACTATTGCTCTCTACACCCCTGGAATATGTCATAGCAAAACAGAAGGCTATGTGTGTACCACCTTGTTGATGAGACAAGAAGACTAGCTCGATCCTTTGATGTACATCAAAAGAATCTGGCGGTCATGTAACGGTAAAAATTGACAGGCTTTGAAGTCGGACGTCTCTCCTTTGTAATATTTAAAGGACAAGTATCAGCCTAGCGATTGGTTAGTTTTTTTTACCTGAGACCAATCAAACAGCTGGCCATGTGCCTCCAATTTTGCTTTGACATATTCCAGGGTGTTGAGAGCGAAAGTGAGCATAACCCCTGGATATCGAGGATGCTGTAACTATTAAAATGCTGCCTTACTTTCAGACATCGTGGAGAATGTGAGGATAGATGTCTACAACTCCATTGGTTACTACATCACATGGGCTGATACGACATACTTTGGCGTTCCACCAGCGACCACTGAAAACATTATCATCACCGTTATTGCCTTTATCGTTCTCATAATCGTCATTGTCGTCGCTCTCTTCCTTCATTACTGGAAGTAAGTTTTGTTGGATCTTTAAATTTTTCAACTCTTTGACATTAATAATTATGCAAATTAATCAACCTCATAATTTCCATTGAGATCAGATTCTCATAATCTGATGAGATATTAATTCACTTTTTATAGTTGATGTCAATTTTTATTCTTCTTTGCCCAAATTTGACCTTTCGAGGCTTTTTTGCTCCAGAAATATTTTTTTAATACACCTATAAAAACCTAAATTATGTCTTTAACAATTCTTTTATACTTTTATTACTAATCCTGTAAATTGAAGGACAAGAAAATCTAAATTTCCGCAGAACAGTACATTTGAGATTTATAAGTATATTGAGACTTCATATGGTGAAATAATGGTAAAAACCGATCATATTTCAGTTTTGCAAGAATTTCTGTTTTAGCTGTGTAGACAGATTTTGAAGTGTCGATAAACACAACTCTGGGTAGAATGGATAAACATTGTGATTTCAGGTTTTGCCTCTCACACTGTTGACCTGAAATTTGTCATTTTATTTCTGTTTGAGTAAATTGACATTTTGACAAATATGTGATTAAGAATTTACTCTGGTACTGTATAGCTAGGCTCATATATAACCTGTCTGGATCTCCTGGGTAGGTAATATGAATCTATTGTACCTGCCTAGTATAAAAAAGTATCTAATGAAATATATTTCTTCAATCAGTAAGTACACTATACATGTTTGTTAAAATATAAAAGAGATCCATCAAACTTAATTGAAATAAAGCAAATGTTATTTATATGTACCGCATTCGTGTGACCAGATTAATGAACGAATTAAATGTAATGTCTCTTAACTCAAGTTATAATTTTCCATTTAGTGCTTGTAATTTAGTTTTTATATCATGTGTTTTTACATGAACTCAATTCATAGGGGGGGGGGGGGGGGGGGGGGAGTGACCCCACTATTCACCCATATATTACAAGTACCTTCCTGCCACCCTGAGCAGGTGATTTATTTGGAATAGCCCTTCTCCTAACAAATGTTGTTTTAAGAAAATCAGTGTTTCTAATTATATCACATATCACTTTATATCACTTCTATCTTAATATCACATTTCTCTTTATAGAACATTTCTCTTTATATCACATTTCACTTTATAGAACATTTCACTTGATATCACATTTCTCTATATACTACATTTCACTGAATAGAACATTTCACTTTATAGAACATTTCACTTTATAGAACATTTCACTTTAAAGAACATTTTCCTCTGATAAGTGATGAATGACATTGCAAGAAATGTACCGTATATGATAGGGAAAAAACGCTGTTTGCTAAAATCAGTCTTTCTTTTCTTACATATTGATATTCCCTCCTATACAGACAGTAAATATATGATCTACCACTCTTTTCTACAGCAAGAGGCGGGAACACAATGACAAGTTGATGAAGAAGATTGAGGAAAAAAAGAACAAAAAGAACAAAAAGAAGGGTGAGGAGGGAGGCAAAGCTGCAGAGGGATCTAGTGATGGGTACAAAATGGAGACAGAGACTGGCCCCATCCCCGTACCGGACAGATTGTAAGTAAAGTGATATAGTTCGCTTAGTGTTTAACCTTCTAGTGATCATTACAATATAGTTCAGCAAGTATTAATAATCTTTCAATTTTCTTTTTATTAAACTTATTTTCTTTACCTACCTACCCTAATTCAAAACCTTAGATATGAATGACGTACACACAATATTGATACCAGCCTTAAGTATAGAAACAGCTGATATAAAGTGATAATTCCTCACACAACTTAGATCTACCATCTTTTGTAGAGAATTTTAAGACGTGAGTATCATGGATGTATCTGCCGTGGAAAGCACAAGATAGTTGTCATTGCACTCTATGTTCTACTGAGGTTCTAAATATCCGTTAGGTCAGGGTAACCCTCAGTATCTAAATCGGTCACGTTAGGTCAGGGTAACCCTCAGGATCTAAATCGGTCACATTAGGTCAGGGTAACCCTCAGGATCTAAATCGGTCACGTTAGGTCAGGGTAACCCTCAGGATCTAAATCGGTCAGCAGATTTACCACTAATTATCCGAGACTTGAATAATGCATCCAGAATTTTCAGTGGTAGACTCATTCACCCCTGAAATTTCATAATGAACTATTCCAACCTTCGAAGTGGAAGGGTTTAAATGTGTCTTCAGGGGTGAATGAGTTAAATTCACTCATAAGAAAAGATATTTCGTTCAATAATTCACCTTTACTTTAGAATTTAAATGAAAGCAATGGTCCACTTAACTACTTAAAAAAGTGTTATGTCATATTTTAGGATTGAAGGAGTGATGGGAAATTGATTAAAGAATTATTTTTTACTAGTCTGAACTTGATTTTTGAGAAATTAATACTAAATGTTAAGTAGACAAATGCAATGTTTCTGTAATGTGATTCCTGGACAAAAAGTGTCATAATTATTTTGTGCTCTTAGTGCAGTCGAACTCAAATGGTTTTTTTTAAGAAATAAAGATTGTACAAAAAAAAATAATCTGTTAACCCATAAAAATAATACTTTACTTTAATAATTAGTTATCACCTACACTCATATATATATATAATTATTTTATTAATTTACAAGAAAGACACAAGGCTGATACATTAAACAGCATATAAGACTACGATCTCCCTAGCCAATCACATGTGTTTTTACTTATAAAACAAAGAATGACAGTAATAACCATTTGCCTCTACATATGTATTCCTGATGTATATATTATATATACAAGTTTGATCAGCTTAGATAGCATAGGTATAATACCAAGAGACCGATATATACAATAACTGATGTATTGTTTTAGACATGTGTCGAGAACTGTAACCCCTGCTAGGTAAGATATCATGTGTTGCCACGGTTTCATTGTCCTGTCTCACCGTCCAATCAGATTGTTTGTCTGTATCTGCTGCATTTCATCCTTCACAAGCTCGGCTCAGGTTTACCTTAAAGAGGGTGTACATTGTAAGTGGTCTCTGAGCCTGTTACTGGTACTATAAACATATAGTGTTCTTATAGTATTGTTGTAGTCACAACTCAAATACAAAGTACTCCTCGTCATATTTTATCATCTATAAATCATTACTGCTCTTTATCATAGTAGGTTGTTTTTATTTCAAATTCTGTCCAGTATATACAAATGGCTTACAGTTTCAAATGTATTGTTATAGTCATCAACTCAAGGCTAGGCCAGAAAACTAACTAGCTTGGCCGTTTTCTGCATTTCTTGTAAGGTATGCGATGTGATATGTCACCAGACAAAATCTACAATTACACACTTACTATTTTATCCTCTAGCTGTCAAAAATGTCTTAATGCTGCATACAGGAGTATGCACACTGAAAGGTATAAACTATCCTTATAAACATCACCATGGTAACACTGTAATTTGCAGTTTCATTCAGTAAATGTTTTTATCAATTAGTTTTATAATTTCTTTAAGGCTCGATATTCTCAGCTAGTTTGTAGATTTTTGTCATTTCACATTTTTATTGTTGGAAAGCATTTTAATTACATTGCGTTAATTTTAGAAAGAATCTATAGGACACTTAGTTGTTTATTTTCACATTTCATGTGCAGCTGGTATAGCACAGATATCATATAATTTCATGTCAAATTTACTAATTTCACATTTTATGTGATATACATTTATTACTTGTTCCTTATAATAACCAGTCGGTCACTGTGTTGAATTTTTCACCATCTACACCAAACAAAACCACTGTGTATTGCCCATTGAAACAGTTATGTATAACTATCTCCCCTGTTGTGTGATTATCTCCCCTGTTGTGTGATTATTTCCCGTGTTGTGTGATTATCTCCCCTGTTAAAATGATATTATTATCTCCCAATAAACAGGCTGTGTGATTGAAACTCATGAACAATGATTGTCTCCCCTGAATAGCCATTCAGTTGTCTCCCTTGAATAATCTTCTGTTTATATCTTTTTGAACATCACATTATTATCTCTGGTAAAGGATTGTGGCTATATAATCCAGATCCTGGACACATTGCAGCCTTAATGCCATAAAAATTCTCTAGAACAACATTGAGGTTACTTCCCCAGGTAGTATTAGCATTGATTTTGTGTTTGTTGTAATTACAGCAAGTTACGTGCTCGAGAGCACAGTCACAAGATGAGCGGACGGTAACAATTAAAACTTAATTAATTCTACATAGTCAAATCAGTACTTGCTTACCAGAAAACCTCTTCCATTGTGTTAGGTTCACTTTATATAATAATCTGTCATAATTTCTAGACTGAAAATTATATTTTGCCATTTTGTTTTATTTTCCTTTTGTAATTTTCAACCAGGTAAATGAATTGTTTATAATTGTCTGTTTGATTTTGAAATAAGTTTGATGCCATAAATATTTGTTTTATAAAATCAAACATAGCAACAAAAAAATACTTTACATCGATTAAAATGTATGGCATTGATATTCATGTATATGACTTCATTCAATAGCTCAATCAGTTACAGATCTTTGTGATAAGTTTTCACTTACATGACTGAAGTGAAACATATTTGTCAATGACTTGTTCTCTAAGTGGCATATCCATTTTCTTCTTTCACCTGCTAGATGAGGTTATTGAATTTTCAGCTGAAGTTTCCGGTGTTCCAGGAGTTCCTTTCATGTTAGCATGGCTTGCTATATAAATAGATTGCTTTAGTACACCTGTCCAATTTCACCTGTCCGTTAAGGGACGCTTTTACCTGTCAAAAGGGATCGTCACATTTAATGGTCACAAAGTTTTTTTCCCATCCAATGTTAACTTTAAAAACAAAATATTGATTTGGTTAATTATCCAATCTTTTTATTTTGACAATTATATCATTCAATTAATATATTATCATCCATTTAACTAATTATTACTTTCCTATATTTGTGAAATTGCTTTATTTACAAGAAAAAAACATCCGTAAAGTAAGCCTTTTTATTATTGAACAAAACATGCACAACAAAAAACATTTAACATTTTAATAAAAGTATAAGTATACCCAATTAAACAACCTTTTTATTTTGTGACCATAAATTGTTCCGATTCCTTATGACATGTCCTTTGTAAAGGGTTGAGATCTCTGTAAGGGAGCTCACTAACAGGCCAGTGATAGAGTATATTGGGCTCTGCTGTCCATCTGCTATAAATATTACTTCTGTTTAGAAAACACCGATCTATCAAAAGAGGCGATTTAAATTTAGATTTAGTGTGATTTAATTGTAGATAAACCTCTGTATAAAGGTCACAAGTGTATAATTAAGGGTTAATATATATGGTAATTTGTTCAGTTCCTGTAAGTGAGATGAAAGGGCATAACAGAAATGTTTACTTTAAAAGTGGGAAAATTTTGCAATGTGAAATTGATTGAATTTTTCACCTTAGTAGATCTAGAGTTTAGCTCAAAATGTTCCCACATGAAGAACATGGTATTTATAGAATATATATAAACTGTATATGGAGTATAGAGAATTCAGAACTATTGTGAGTGTGTAAATTTCCATACCACAATCATTTCAAATTGTCACATTGTAAACATTTCCAGATGCAAGAATTTCCATTTTCAAATAATCGTGTAATCGTAATTAAGCTGACACACATCTCAATACTTCAACAATGTTTAACCATGTTCATCAGAGATATAATTATCTCACAAATGATTAAGCTACACTCACAGATTTTAAAAAAATATTCTGACTTTTGGTAAATAAACATTTTAATATGTATGCCTCACATTGGCTACTTCAGGAAAGTATAACCTGGTATGCAACACTTTGCATAGTTCAATATATAATTACTGATATGGCATGTTATTGGTGATAGTCAAGCTTCAGCCCATATCAATCACTAAAGGCTATCTCCCTGCAGACGTATAGACTGAGATTGTCTCCCTTTGAGCATTAGTGACCTGCAAATATAATAGTATGCTTTATTAGATGAACATGTATTCATTTTAGAATATGTGTGAGTTTTTAACTAAACTGTCCTACAAAACAAGGAGTTGTTTATTTGTAGTGTCCCAGCATAATTATAGAAAGATAAGCGGGGCTATATCTTTTTAATTAACGATGGTCTCCCAATATTTTCTCTTCAATTCTATCTTGTCCCCAATATGATTTGCTCGTTGAAACATTGATTCCGCTAATCTCATGTAATTTCCTGATGATAATGTCTGGACCAGTGTTGTTGGTACCTTCCTGCACCTCGTAGTGTTGAATACCTGAACAACATATATATATATATACATATTTATCCATCCTCAATGGAGCGACATGAAAACTGATGAATATATGTCTGCCTAATTAAGTGAATAGGAAGTGTTAATTTAGTTTTCTTCCCTTATCTATTTAAATAATAAAGTCAGACAATAAGTAACATAATTGATTATTTTACCTTTTAAAGATGAAAAAGTATTACTGAAATCGAAACAAGGATTTTATATATATATATATATATTTTTTAATAAAAAAAATCCATTTATTTTTTTATTTTTTTTAGGAAATCCAATGTGTATGGTGGTGAGAAGGATGCTGGTGCCAGTAAACTTCCTCCATCAAAGGCCAAAGGGGCAGTCAGTGACACAGACTCCGCAATCAAGATGGATGACCCAAAGTCTAATGGTGACGTAGACGACTCTAGGCGTCAAGCAGAAAAAAGCCACTCGCTGCCTCCTCTGAGGACTTCGGAGCCAAGGAATGCAGAGGATGGAGAGGACAAGAAGAAGAGGAAGAAGGCAAAGAGGAAGCACAGAAAATCAAAGAGGACAGCCAATGAGAATGCTGGATACCAGGCACAGTCTGATGACGAGGTTACAGATCTATAGACATAGGGTGTGGTAGACTCGGACAGGAGTATCAATATTATGTTTAGAACCAGTTGTCAAAAATCTGAAATTAGATTAATGACAATTTATTAATGAAATGTTTCCTCTGGGATATTTTCAAAAACATGAAATTTCAAAATAAAATTTCATCAATAAGTATTCAAACTGATTATCTAAAAACAGGAAAAAAAGGAAAAACAAATGTTAGTTTTCAGAAATCTCATAAAATTCTATTATCAATTATCTGATATTTAAAACTAAAAATGTATGTATATATCATTATGATGGATTAAAATGGTTTGTCTGCATATAAAAAATACAAAATGTTTGTACATATAAATCTGCAGAGTATACTTAACCTGCTGTAGATTTGTAAAAGTTTGAAGTCTTGTCAATAAATTACAAGCAGGCAGAATCCTTATATTTGATATCTTCATACAAGGGTGAATTTAATTTCTATAACATTTACTGTCTGTATTTATAACGTCATAACATTCAAGGTGTAGGTGAAACAGCCACAGAATAGGTACAATGTCTGACTGTTGTTCACATAAAGGGTTGAAGTAAAAAATATATCAATAAGGGTATGCAGATTTAAATGACACTGCTTTTTTGTGCATTACCTCTGTGCTATTTTCAGTTCATATATTTTATTTTTAATCCAAGTACCAGGAAGCAACTATTATGTATTAACAAGGGAATTTCATATTAAAATCACCTAAGGTAAACCTGGATTTTTTTTAAAAAAGTGTGAGAACAACGTTTGATAAAATTAGCATTGAAGTATGACGCCAGGACCTGTGCTGACTCCGTTGAGTATTTATAGATCTTAAATGGGTACTTAAAACAGGCTACAGAACACTACTGTTGTTATGCATGTAGATGGCCATGGTTAGATAAACAAACCAATTGGATGAGATATGTTACTAATTATACAGTTAAGTTTTTTGGTAAATCATTGAAGAGCAGGAAGTAATATTTTGCCAAAGCTAGCCATTCATTTCACAGTAAACCTGCTATCAAGAGTATTTTGAGAGGGACACAAGAAGTGTTGGCTTTATTTAGAAACTTAAATTGTAGATAGTATTTATACTGCTAAATAATCTTCATTAATTAAAACAAATGTTATGTAAATTAGATATTTCATTTTTCATTAAAATATTTTTTGCCTAATGTCATTGGATCTTATCGGGATCCTGTCTGGTATTACCAGTTAATGTTTCCTTTTTGGCCTTAGTATTCTTTGTTTAAGATATTAAGACAAAATTTAATTTTCTATGTTTTAAAGGTTCATACTGTACAAGATTAGCCCACTTGGGGTTTACCCACTTGAAGGGTCTAGGCAGATTTACACATGTATACATCTATTATAACTGTGTTGCCCTTACACAGACCATTACCTCTCAGCATATTACATACAGTTCATTGGTGGATTAAGCCATAGAAAATTGCCAGTTTAAATGCTTGTACAGTCTGTCTGTAGTTGTCATAAGTGTTCTTTATAATTACATTTTTTTGTCTTTATTAATTATAAATCTATATATAATGTACATGTACATCTAAAAACATCATGTATATAGGTTGTATTCATGATACTGGTTTGTAGTTGTGACCTACCTTATCCAGTTACTTTAAAACCTAATACATTTGTATAAAGATTTTTTTTTATCTTTAAATACACAAATACAGTACAATGTAAATGTAAATATTTTTATTTTTAATCATATATAAAGGAAAATCAAAATTTGAAAACTACACAATTGTTCTTATAGCACTAAACCATAAACCCATATATAGGTATCATAGTTTGGAAACAAAAAACAAAATTTGATGCTTTTAGTAGAACAGATATTTTCTGAAGGAAAAAAAATCTTCAGCAATAAGTCCATGAATGTTAACTCGTAGACACATAAAAGAAATGCATGATTTACATGTTCTTTTCAAATTATCAACTATTTGGTTGGTTAGTTTTATTGGTTTTGAATTTTTAACCCTAGTTATATTTAAACCAACTTTATATTTGTATATATACATATGCTTACAGTTTTGTTTGACACAGACTCAATGCAGCTTGTTCTGCATGCTTCCTTCAACACCCAAAGAAGGATCTTTGTGTTATTAGTGGGGTCTGTGTCAATATTTGACGGCTGCTGGGGCCTCTGATCAAGTGTATCCCGTCCCTCTCATAGAAGGAATTCTAAAAAAAAGACCGTTATATAAACAAACAGTAAGAAATTAATGCATATCTTGTTGCCTACACTACTATATGAAAGGAAGGTCACCTTGAGCAAATGTTTGCTGTTCACGTATTTTGCATGAAATTTAACTCCTTTCATCTGGCTGTATAATACACATTATTGTCTTTATCAGGTCCTTTTTAAAGGGGACCAAGTTTACCGATTTAAGGCAAGTTTGAAATGTGTGTTTCTGATGACAGGATCAACTGTTACTGATTAGAAGTTCTATATTATACCCTTTAATGGTTATGTATTTGTGCACATGCTGGTATTTCTGACTTGACGTTTTATTTTACATGGTTGATAAGTTAGTGCTGGGTGTTGTTTTTTAATCTGAATAGTTTACAAAGCAGATATTTAACTGTGATAAGCATTATTGTTTTTGATATTTAAGTAATTTTTGTTGACATATTACAAAGTTATATAGGGTGAATGAGCCATCGTATTTAGCATTGTGTGTGACGAGGATGTATAATTGGATTTTATACAGTGCTAAGTGTTTCATTCCAGCTATTTTGGTCGGAGTTACATGATGTACCTGTAACTTGACATGTATTAAATGACTACAGAGAACTTAGCCCTGACAACAATCTATCCAAAAGGCTGAAAAATCTCAGCATCTGTATCAAAGGACAAGAAACAAGCTACATTAGTTGGTACTGTTCTGTTTATTTACTTTTCCTTATTTTATCTTCTGATAAAGATTGTTCTGTATACAGGGAAAGATTTACCACAGATATTTACCCGAGTCCTCTTTGCACTCTGTAACAAAGAGGGCAAAGTTTTTATGATGCAAACACAAATACACAGTATATAGAGTGCTCACTATTTACGAGTAAATGGCAAAACTATTTCTGGTAGAATATGGATTTTACTGATAAAAGGCAAACATTTGTCTGAGCAGAAGTTTTCCTGATACACAGTTTTAACCTCCCGTAACCAAGACGATCTAATGTCACTTCAACAAATACATGTATAGTTACTGGAGGTTGGTTGTAATGGAACTGGTGAATACTGTTTCAGCATGGATGTAAACAAGAATGTCTTAATTTGTGGTACTCGTATTTTAAATTTATTCAAAGTGAAATCGATGTACACAATTTTTTTTAAATATTAAACTTAATTGACAGACCTCATCTTTTCAAAAAAAAAAAATTACCACAGGACTGTTATTTATTGACTATTAATATTTTACGTCACCTTATTCAATTCATTGTGTTTGAATGTCTGTTAACTTTTTATAGTTATTTCTTACCTTAAGGTATTATGGTCCACATAATCCGTCCAATATCCTATGTATGTATCACCGCTTCAGAGATTTACTGTTTTCATCACAAGCCTTTCAATGTTTTAAGTATGAAATTAGCTTCAAGTAGAAACTCAAACCAACTGTGCTTACAAATCTTTACACTCGTGTCTTTAATTTTTAAATCTCTAGAGAAAACTTCATTTCTAAATATCTTTACAGTAGAAGCTTAATACAACTTAATTCTAATATGATATGGCAATGCATATGAATTAGACTTTAAAGCAATTTTATTTAAAATAAAAATAAAAGGCAATATAGACGATAATTTAATGTTGTTTTACCATATTTGGGATATTAGATTAAAAACAGGGTATTCATTTAATATTTTCTTTAATGTCAAGCCATTAAGAGTAATATTGATAATACACTACATTGTTTGTGATATCTAATTGTATAGTTTTACTGGCAGAATCACTAACATTCACTGTTTGTATGTGATAGTCTCGTGCGTGTTGGTATATTTATTAACATTTTTTTCTCTCTTTTATTCGTCCATTATTAACTTTGTCACTTTTATAGAAACAATAAAAAGTCAAAACTATCGTTTCTTCTCTCCTTGTTTGTTAATAGTCTTTGATTTATTCATAGCATTGCTGGATCGATTGTAAGGGGACTGCAGAAACCTATGTATGCTTCATTATTTTTGCCAATACGATCCCTTATCAGTCTCTGCAACCTACAAATGCTGTGGCAGAACCAGAGATCTAGACCAACGGAGGGAAATCAAAATGGGGAAATTAAAAAGCAGTTTTGAAAAGAAATCACTTCACAGGCAAGTCCAGAAACCCCATAGCCAGAGTTTCCTATGGCCCTAACACCAGACATAGACTTTTTGACATACGATAGATCTCGCACCAGACATCTATATGTCAAAAAGTCTAAGTCTGGTGTTAGGGCCAGAGGAAACTCGGGTTAGAAACCCCATTGGAGCTGCGGAGGTGCCCAATCTACATACGCTTCGTGATACATAATAATAATAATAATAATAATAAATTCTTTTATTTAGACAGGGTAACATATTTAGATTTTCATCTAGTTTACAATATGGCCCTGTAAAACACATTATATATACATACATAAAACAACAGCACATCACGCATACAGAGACATATGACATACAATAAAATAGAAAAAGCAGTTAAATAGTACAATACATTATTAAGACAACCTATTATATTGTATCACTAAATATCACAGAATTGCATTTAGAACATTAGAAAATATCACAGTGTATTACAAGTCAATACATACATATATTTATCACAGGGTAATATAAGGATTATCTCTGGAAATTATATTAAACAGAACCATAGGGATAATTTCAAATATTGTACTTTAAAATATACATATAGTATATACCATATAGTACCTGGTTTCCCAGTGATTGGGAATCCCCTACCTACTTGGTCCGCCGGTAACACATGGTATTCATGATCTAGTATTTTTAAAATAATTGGCCAGATATGCCTTTTTAAAAGCCAGAACATTTGTTGTGGTTCGTATGGTTTCTTCCAAAGTATTCCATAAAAGAGTACAAGTGTATCTAAAAGAATTTTTGTAAAAACTTGTTCTACACTTGGGGATATAGAGCTGGTTCTTCGCAGAAGATCTTGTGGTTCTTGTGGAAATCTGGATTACATAGGTAAATAAATGTTGTTTTAAAAATCCTGGAGCCTGGTCGTTAAGGATTTTATAAGTTAGAACACATTTTCTAAAAGTATAAAAATCGTGAATAGGCATCCAGTTTAAAGTCTTTAAAAGTAACGAAGTTGGTGTACGAATTTCTCTTATATTTAGAATTAAATACATTGTATATGTACATGTACGTTTTCAGCGAACAATTAGAGTTGAAGTCGTACATAACTAGACCCGCTGCTGCTGCAAGTCGTCCTTACTTATGGTTTTACAAACACTGCCAATGTTGTGCTATATGAAACGTTTTACACACAAAAATATTATCTATAAACAAATCTTGCATATTTAAGAATAGCCTCTTCCACGAATTAAAACAAAGCATTGATCGATATTATTTTACATTATGTACACGGAATGTTTTACCAGTCGTAAAATAGAACCACGTGACAAAATTGCCTTTAACCTAAACATTTGAATGGGCTCATTGTCAAATGGTACTGCTTCTAAAGTGACGTAAATTATGCAATGTTAACACGCGATGCCTTCTATGTACAGGTGTTATTTTATGTACAGATTCTAAATTGGAGGATATTTTTTTTATACATGATGTATTTGATTCAAAATGGGAAAATTTAACAAATGTTTGCGTCTGTCGTGCGTGACAGAGATTGTTTGCCCATAGAGGCTGAAATTGCACTTAATTCGGATATTCAGTTATGACACAACATGTCACAGCAACTACGTCCTGTTGATTTATATATGAGGTTTCAGTTTAGGATTACAAAATATTGCACAACAATGAGACTCATATTTATATATATCTTCTACGAATTAAGGTATGTTCACTATGTCAAAAATCTGCTATGTCGTATATACGTACATGCTTTGCATTTGAAAGCGTACTTAATGACAGTGATTATAAACAGTGTTGGACTATCTAACCCTACAGTAGCTGCGATAACGTAGCTTTCTGACGACGAGAGATTTTCGCGGGGCAGAGGAGGCCGGGTATTAATATTAGTACTAACCCTACAGGTGTTCTGGGCTTATATGGCTTTCATCACACCTTGGTGTCCTTATGTAAATGTGGTTGGCTCTTAGAGCCGACGTTAATGTCCTAGTCTGTTTGCTGTGTGTAGAGGTAATAGGATATGTTTGTTTACAATACAATTTAACTCTAGGGCTCCTTTGCATATCCCAAGCAACCGGGTTGCCCGTTTTTAAAGGTATATATATTTTCAGGTATAGATAATGGCGGACCAGCAAATGTGTATGCAGGCCTTGCAAGGCTGCTTTGTCAAGGCTCGCCTAAAAGCAGCATCAGATTACTAAGTCCGACCTTATTTCACAAACAAACAACTCTGGTCCAATCGATTGAGCCGTCTGGATCGCGATAACCGAATGCGGCCTTGGTCTTCTAACCTTTCGATCCCTTGTCAACTTCCTGTGTATCTCAATTTTAACAACGACAAACAAGTGACTGTACCTTAACAATTTGGCATTTGTATGCAAAACACTTATTTGCATTGCATCAGGAGCTGTTTCGTGCCCTTGGAACCCAACGGTGATTCTAGGGGTCAACCAGTTAGAAATCCAAACGGTCTGAACCAATGATAAAACTGAGAGGCAAGTGCGTAAACAAAACTTTACTAATGAATTTGAAGTTTTAGAGGAGTACTGTTTAATTTGTAAATCAAATGATCAAGTGTATATATACATTTGTATAATAAAGTGTGTGTATAGATATGTAAAATAAAGTGTATATATACATATGTAAAATACAGTGTATATATACATATGTATAATAAAGTGTATATATATATATATACACTTTATCATTTAATTAGTGGCACTCTTCATTATACATATGTATGTACACTTTATCATTTAATTATTAGCACTCTTCATTATACATACGTATATATACACTTTATTATTTAATTAGTGGCACTCTTCATTATATATATATATATATATATACTTTATTATTTAATTAGTGGCACTCTTCATTATACATATGTATGTACACTTTATCATTTGATAAGTGGCACTCTTCATTATACACTTTATCATTTAATTAGTGGCACTCTTCATTATATATATGTATATAGATTTTTTTAATTATTTAGTGACACAGTTCATTAAACATTTATATATACACTTTATTATTTAATTAGTGGCACTCTTCATTATACATATGTATATATACACTTTATTATTTAATTAGTAACAGTGTACATTAACTTGAAACCTTATGTTGCTCGACAACACTTATGACCATCTTCGCTAGCCAAGGGAGTAGGTAGATCGTACCGGATCAACCCTTGGCTAGCCAAGATGACTTATGACATGCCAGTATGATATTTAGACTAAATGAGTTTTGTTGATACTGGAATTAATATAGACTCTTGCATTTTGCAGGATATCAGTATACTTTTTGTTTGGAATCAACGTAAGGCAATTTATAGATGTCCAACGTTTTTAATGCATCCTCATATAGAGCTCATTAGGGTTACCTTTTCATGAATCACATTCCAACCAGATTCAATAAAGTAATGCAGTTCTTCTCGTTATTCACTTCATAACCACTTTCTTTCATTTCCTGATGCACCCCTTCCACCCTCCCCTCCCTGATTTCTTCTTCTTCTCTTTGTCTGTTAAACTATCAAAATATTTGTAACAGTGCCGTCATACTGCCAGGTTTATTAATCAGGAGACGAATTAATATAAGTACTTATGTACTTGTTTTCGAATCCTCTTTGTTGATTTTGTATTATTATTTCGTCACTGCCATATATTGAATAAAACACTGTTTAAACTAACAGTGCCACTAATTAAATAATAAAGTGTATATATATATGTATAATGAAGAGTGCCACTAATTAATAGAGACAAATGTGGTCAACAAGGTTCGGGGACTAGACAAACCACCAGCAGAGTCTACAATGTACCACCTTGTATTTTTAAAGATGAACGTTACACGCACACAAGTGCTTACACCCCTACAGATTGAGTAATACATACGGTACGTAAAAATGAATTACACTGCATATGTATTAAAGGTACGATTTCCACGGCGATCCTCAGGTGTTGTGTACGTTTAAACGTCTTCTGCATCAGCTTTCACAAGGACTTATAAAGCTAGATATTGACTGAATATGAAAGATAAGTAAATATATACGCAATTTCACATGTGTGATTATTCATTGCATATATATCGTCGCTAATGATACAATTAATAAAAATACTGGGTATAACTATCAACAATTTTCTTTGGAAGGAGATGCACGCTACAACGTGTCTAATTACGTTGTTTTATTTAAAACATCCTCCTAAGTGATACTGAAAAGTATTACCTAAACCTCATGAATAACAAAATATGCTGAATTAATTTAAATAATTATCAGCTAAAATGATTGGAAAACGAGGTCTAGCTGTACATGAATGTTTCGTTATTCCATTAAAATATAAATGCGTTTGAGTTCCATTTAACACAACCCAGATAGGTTTCACAAGCCATGTATTACTAGTATGTTGTATATAAAAACCGATGTCTTCATAACAAGTGATCCCCGTGGTTGAGTTATCATTTCCGCGGTTCTCCTGATGATACTCTGGATATAAAATGGTAAATTTCTCCTTGTTTAAAGAAACAGGATCAATTAGATATCGATGGTTTTACAATCAACATACCTCTGTTGCACCTTTCCTAGAAACCAAGAGTTACTGTAGTCATATCACACACAGCCATGATAGAGTCATGATCATAATACGATACCCAGACACATTTAACTGTTAACTATGTGTTAACGCTGGTTTAGATCGCTCCTGGATTTAATAGGAAACATTACGTTAGATGTCATAAAGGATGTAGGGAATGCTTACCGGTACAGCGTACCTGGATTCTCTACCGGTACAGCGTACCTCGATTCTCTACCGGTACAGCGTACCTGGATTCTCTACCGGTACAGCGTACCTCGATTCTCTACCGGTACAGCGTACCTCGATTCTCTACCGGTACAGTGTCTTTTCGTTATTCTAATAGTAGCGTGTGTATTAAAAGGTCATCGCTGTGTATTTTGGTAATGCATGAAGTCATGTGTCTCCCAACATTTGTATACATTTTCCAGAATCTCCTTATAAGATCTCCAACTGACTGACATTTTGTACAGGTTTAAAAAACCAAAACGTTTAATAATCATGTGATATTCTATCCAAAACATAAATATAAACATACAGCGAATGTCAAGTTAAACAATTATCCTTGGTTACTGTATAACATGAAATAGTTTGATTATATTTATCGTTTTCGTTTTCATTAGACATGCAAATTGTCTCGTTTCTTTACTTTTAGGAACTATACCTATAGGTTTTATTCACAAATACTCGAGTAAGCGGTAGAAATAATACTGTTGATAGTGATATTGAATTCGTGAATAGGAATCATCGCGAAGTACCGCGAATATGAAGTGATTTATAGTGATTGTATTATGTTTAATTGCAGCGTTTGACAGATAAATAGTGTACGCCCAACTTTACTAAGGGAAAGCAAAGGAAGCAAAGGGAACCTTTACCAAGTTAAACTGTTTTATTCCTAGCTCCCCGAGTTCGGCGTCGATGCCTCACCGCCAAGTGGTCTTTGGCCTCATTCTTTTGTTGTGTTAGGTGAATATCTTTCCTCATGGTGTTGTTTCCAGTATATTCAGTACATACCTTTAAGTTATCGCAATCCTGTAGTAAATTGCTTTTACTCAACTCGTTGGTTTGGTGGACTTGAGTCAGTAATGCTAGATATTTATGGTTCATTTACAAAAACGATTGTTGATTTTACTTTAGTTCTTCGTTCAATAGACAAAATTACACAAAACATTTTGATCCTTTGTACGAATATATCTTTTATTTAATTATTAGAGTTTTAACTGATTCAATTAAACAAAATGACACACAAATATTTAAATGAGTGATATTTTATTGGACTGTGTTATTTTCTTTCGGGATAAGAAAGTTGACTTGGTAGGTGTATGATGAAGAATCTATTCCGGTATATGACCTTCATCAATGAACATTCGTAACCTTATTACCTCACTTGGTTTCAGTTTAAATTCTGTGTTCAGGTGATCGTCACTGAGACGTGCTAGTGTTTTGCCGTCGATATTTTTCTTTGAAAATTTTGGAACATATCGTTTCAAACCTAACTGTTTCAAACGATCACCGATATCACGCACTGTCATTAAGTCAAGATGTTGTTGAGTTGCAGTTCTACGGAATAAAGACCTCTGTTGTTGAACTTCGGTTTCCTTTTCTTCACTTTGAGTTTGCTTTCTGGCTATTCCAAGTAGGCTAACTCTAGGGGGGAGCGGAGGTGGTTGTATGACAGACTTTCTACCTTGCGAATCAGCGTTTCGTTGTTCAGAATCTTGTGTACTTGTAATCGTTGTTTCAGATGTTCTACTATGTTGATGGCGATCTCGGACGTCACGCGTTGACTTTGTACTTCCCATTAATTGAACATAAGAGTTGTTTGTATCATCTATTTCAGCGGTCACTAAAGGTCCATCTATTGTTGTCGGTTCATACTCTTTGTTTGAACATTGATCCCCTGCTGCGAGAGGTTGATTAGAGATATCTGTGTACCACGCTCTGTGTATTGTACGTGGTGCGATCATGGTGCAATAACTGCTGTCGCGATGTGACGAGTCTGCCGTCAACATTGGGGCTTCGTCTTTGGCGAAGCGAAATGTATCTGTTAAATATATATATACAAGTATTATATAATGTATCATGACGTAATCACTGTCTGTGGTGTGTTGTTTTTCTGTCAACATGAATAAACAGTTCCCCTGATGAACATCTAAAGAGGAAAAAGCGCTCGGGAAGTCGAAGAAACTCTTGTCTTTTGTTTTGTTTATATATACAAGTATATACAATGAGAGAGAGAGAGAGAGAGAGAGAGAGAGAGAGAGAGAGAGAGAGAGAGAGAGAGGGGGGGAGGGGGAGGGGGGTAAGTTTGTGTAATACTATCATTAAAAACAATTGCAAATCTAAAATGTGGCCATAACCAGAGGGTGACCATACACTATTTTACTAAGGATAGTAGCATGCTTTAATCTACCTTATAATTTCCTGCATACTACCCTACCTGGGTAGCCCGATATAGCTGAAACGTAGTATTATGTTCTAAAGATACCAGATTGTCCAGAGGTTATATACGATAACGAAGGGATAGGTGCTTCTGTAACATTGTATTGAATTTTGAATTGATTACAGGAATAAAATTGTATAAAAATAACTGCATTCTTTACACATTTATCTAAAAATAATAAATAAGTAAATAAAACCGATAGGCACTTCACCAGACAGTCAACAAAAGGGATTTGCAGATGCAAATGTTTGCATGACTTGACATTACACGTCAAAGTTCTGTTTGTTAACCATGATTATAGGTCGAAAGACATACAATGTAACCTACAGTACTATTTTGTTACTTTGTTGTTGCTCATCATTTACCTATTTAGCACCAAATGGTGTGGACATTGGACAAAGAAAAGCTTTCCGGGTGAAACAATTATTTCCCTTTTTGTTAACATTCTAGATTAAATGTCTTTAAGATGTTTTATATAAATAAAAATGAAAGATCTTAGTTAGGATTTACCTGTGCTGCCAGCGGTACGGTCGAATGTTATGTGGTTTTCTGATATAAAGTCTGCATACATATCAAGTTGTTTTTGGAACTCGTCTTGAGATTTCCCTTCTATACCTGTAACTACAGCACACTTCATCACAGAAGACAGTACTGTGTATACTGGCTGCACGAAAAGCACACCTGTAAGATAAAACTCGTGTCACAAGCTTTGTCGGCTGGCAATTTAAAGAAAGAAAAACTTGAAGAAAAGATGAAAATTATTAGGTTTTGATACATGTAGCAGTGACATTGGTTTGGTACGTATGACACATATTTGATAACTATCAAACGAATATTTTTTTCACTTTCAAGTTAAAAAATAAATAAAAAATCTCCATCATTAGGTATGTTTCTCATATGATCATGGACATTTTTCTTTTCTCTATTGGTTTGATTCTTTAAAATATTATCTATCATTGTCAATGCTTTTACATATCTTCAGATAATCAAAAGGCAATACATTATTTTTATTGATTTGATACACTAAACAGAAACCAAATATAAAGAAGGGAGCTGTTTAATCAGTACCCTGCCCAGGTCCTCAAAATCACACCCTATCCTACCAGTGGATTCGCCCTATCCTACCAGCGAATTCGAAATACTTCACCATCGCCATATCCCCTTAGAGGTAGTTTGGACATTTCAGCTACATCGTGTGTTGATTATTCACGTGTGGATATCCTCATTTTGATTAAATCAAATGCAACTTTTATTCTATAGATTAGGGACATTTTGAGCTTCTGGACACCTACCGTCGTGAATACAGTTCCCGACGAGATAGTTTTGGGTGTATTCCCCTTGTAAAGTCAGGGTTCTGGCTTCGGATAGCTCCTCCCGGACTTTTATTGGAAACTCTTTATTTTCTAACAGTATTGTAGCTAATGTCTTTATATCGTTTTCTGGAAAAGAAAAGAATACCTTCACCCCTTTTAGAAACTCTATACGAGGCCTAACATACGAGCTTAACATGATAATAGATGAACGTATCATAACAATATGGATATTGTATGCATATTATCAATTACATAACGTGATTTTGCTGTTGCAATGCATATTTAAAAACATTATTAACATTTGTGGATATGATAGGGTTGATTATGTATCGAGCATAAAAAAAATGTGAAAACGTAATTAACGAATGCAACTCAATCTGAGTTCAATATTTTTCCAAAATTATTACCATATAGTGACTTTGACGAAACAGACTGTACTGATACATGTATGACTTTGACGAAACAAACTATACTGATATGACTTTGACGAAACAGACTATACTGATATGACTTTGACAAAACAGACTATACTGATATGACTTTGACGAAACAGACTGTACTGATACATGTATGACTTTGACGAAACAGACTATACTGATATGACTTTGACGAAACAGACTATACTGTATGACTTCGACGAAACAGACTGTACTGACAGATATACAGTTCTAATTTATTTTCAATAAGATGGGTTCGAACACGTGTTCTCTATTCTTTATGCGCCCAGTCAAAATGCGTTATTTCAGTTATTTTTTCACAGGGTTCTTATTTTGTTAAAAAGTGTTACCAAAAAAAACTAGCGAAAACAAGGTTCTTTGCAGTATCATACTAGGTCATTTTCCTGTCCTGTTATTCAATAAACTATATTCAATAATGATATCGATCTCATTTAAAAAATGTTTTTCCTAATTTCACAAATGGAAACGTTTTGGTCACCTCCCTTTTTAACACTGATATCACTTACCTTGGCCAGATTGCTGAACGGCATAAAACCTGGATTCTGTCTGTACTGGGATGGATAAACATTCGTCTCTGGAACCATTCCCCCCTTTCTCCTCTTCTGCCAGTACTCGAAACTGCTCCGAAAATGTATGGATCCGATACACCTGTAAGCAACAATGATCAGTCATGTATGTATTATTGGTAGCCGTACGAGAATCGGTGTGAGAAGTCTACATTTTACTACTGTCTGGCTTACCGTTTGATTGAGACATTTTAGTGATGAGTAATTACAGTAATTGGACATACTTCAGTAAGTAATGAGTTATCACAGTAATTGTATATACTTATGTAATGAGCAAATACAGTTATTGTAAATACTTAGTAAGGAGTACTTAATGCAATTGTACATACTTTTGTAATGATTCATTACTGTAAATGTACATACTTTAGTAATGAGTAATTACTGTAAATGTACATACTTTAGTGGCGAGTAATTACTGTTATTGTACATACCTTAGTAATGAGTAATTACTGCAATTGTACATACTAAGTAATGAGTAATTACTGTAATTGTTCATACTTAGTAATGAGTAATTACTGTAATAGTACATACTAAGTAATGAGTAATTACTGTAATTGTACATACTTAGTAATGAGTAATTGGTGTAATTGTACATACTAAGTAATGAGTACTTACTGTAATTGTACATACTAAGTAATGAGTAATTGCTGTAATTGTACATACTAAGTAATGAGTAATTACTGTAATTGTACACACTTGATTAGTAAACCTGACCAGATTAGTATCATTTGGTTACTAAACCGGACCAGATTAGTAACACGTGATGATTAAACCTGACCAGATAAGTCACACTTGATTAGTAAACCTGACCAGACTAGTATCATATGATTACTAATCCTGACCAGATTAGTATCATATGGTTACTAAACCTGACCAGATTAGTAACACGTGATTATTAAACCTGACCAGATAAGTAACACCTGATTAGTAAACCTTACCAGATCAGTATCATATGATTACTAATCCTGACCAGATAAGTATCATATGGTTACTAAACCTGACCAGACTAGTAAAATATGATTACAAAACTTGACCAGGCTTGTAACACGTAATTATTAAACCCGACCAGATTAGTAACAGTTGATTACTAGTTTGACCAGATTAGTAACATTTGAATATCTAACCTGATCAGACTAGTAACACTTGATGGTTAGTCCTCACCACGACACTTTATGTTAATACTGATCAGACCAATAACACGAAAACAGACCGGACACATTTTAATACCTTCATACTTGACTAGAAATCACATCGATATCAAATAGAATAGCTAGAATATATTTTAACAATCGACCAGTGTGTCACAAGGGAATTAGAACATATTATGAAAAAAAAACAATGAAATGAGACCCTTAAGATATAGAATATTGAAATGAGATCAAAGAAGGAAGAATAAAAACAAACTAATATGATCAATGCATGGCGGATTTGTAACGTTAAATGAAACCCTGTTAAGTATCAAGATAAACATACCTGGTCAGTACACATGTTTTCACATGAGTTGGTACCATCATGTCCTTCTGTTATTATCACCAGTTGCGGCAGGTTGGTTTTGTACTCATAAAAAAACTCGGCCAAAGTCAGTGCCGTATTTTTATCATAAGTAAACTCTAAATCCTTTAAAGTCAATGGTGTATGATCCTGACTGGAATCAGCCATTGTCAATTACAATCAGTGCTGTCTTTCATCGAAGGTAAACTCAAAATATCTTCAAAGTAAATGTATTTTTGTTTTAAATTTAATAAATAGTGTTGCTTACTTAATTTTAAAACCTCTATGGTGGATTTCAATATCTGAAACAAATTGTACCTTCTTTGGTAAACAATAGAAAATAACCCGTTAGGTGTTTACTAGGGATGATTGCCATATCTCAACAGGAAGCTATGATTGTGCTCGCTTCAACATAAGTACACACTGACTGAACATGATTATCTTCTCATTGTAGAACTGTACTAAACCGACACTTATCATTGATTACAAATCAGCAGTGCTAGTATCGAGCCTGGTGTAATTAATGATAAAAACACATTGTTTTCCCCGAACACGTGTAGAATTAATAGTAGGGCATACATGCGAGCATCGACAGTTCGTAATGGACCTACTTATTCCATTACGCTTGTTCATAGATGAAATCCAGCATCACCATACCCATTAAATCATTAAATTCCAATGATCCAGCTTACAGGGTATGTGTTTACACAGTTTATACCTGGACGAGCCAATGCTTTTTCTCTGCTAATGCTTATGTACATGTACGTCAAAGGGCCAATATTTAGTTTTATCTACGTGAAAAACAGCACTTACAAGACATTACATCATACAATACATTGGCATGTCTGATAATGTATACGTTTAATGCATTTATACGCAAACCGTTGTATTGCTTACTCCTAGTACCGTGATAAAATGGGTTAAGGAATAAAACGTTGAGTCACACTATCGCTTACCCGAGTAAATATATCAATATATTAATACGTATCAGATGGAATGTTTCACTCTAGTATTAACAAGCTACCCATGCTTCTGTCACCATGTCATTGATCGTCTAATCTACAATCGTCACCAACAAGAATAGTGTGTGTCGTCTTAACGCGACTGTTCAACCCTGCACGAATGTCAACGTGTCGTGTATTCAAACCCTCTCATCCGTATAGAGAAGCACCCCGACCTGGGATTTTATCAAAGTTCCACAAGTAACACACACGTTTTACTGCCCATAATTTAACAACTCAAATTTAATCAGGACCACACAGTCCAATAGTGTTCTTAGTTAATACACATGACTAACAGGAATATCCTCTTCACAATGTTGAAATTATTGTTTATCAATATAAAGGCAATGGTCGTGACTTGGTTTTAATTGGCTACATCCACGATGACGATGTATATTTGAGTACAATTTATCAGCAGTTACTTCCTCATTAAATACCTTAATACTGAATTCTTAGACACACAGAGAAGACAAGAGGTTATAACACAAACACAGTTATTGTGAAATAAAACCCTTCAATATTCATTGTTTTTATTTATTATATATGTAAGTAGTCAATAAACATATTCAACTGAAAGTAGTTACATTGAAACAAAAGCAAATATGTTTCTTAAAATTATATGAATTTACGAAAAGTCGCAGTTAAAAAGCAAGTACTCTATCAAACGAGTAGAACAATCAATAGAATAGTATGTTTGATATTAATAAATGTTTGTAATACAGCCTGTTCCGGTTGAAAAACAACGTATTTTCTAATTATATTTTTGATGAGGTTAACACCTTGTTTATGGAATATTTATGTCACGGTTCTAGCTGTTCATTAGAGATTTTATCCCGAGTCTGAGTCTTTGATAGTCCTACATTAACGTATTTTAGTATACGGTATGGAACACACCTTCTACATTGAATTTATTATACTTATGTTCTAAATGAAGTGTCTGCTGGACCCTATTTTATGTATGGTTGTGCCTGTTTGCTCTATTCCGTCTTTGCGTATTGCAGAGTTATCTGCACTTGTGAGCAGGTATTGATTGTTACGTCACTTGTTTGTGAGAGTAACGTCATCAATTTTTGAGAAAACGACGTAATTTCCTCACACGAACCAATGACGTAACAATCAATACCTGCTCTCAAGAGAAGATAACTCTGCAAGACGGAATACTGATAATTGTATTTGTTCATACTACCTTCCGTGGACTCCGTTGTGATCACTCCAAATCTTTAACAATAGGCCAAGTGTTTTGTTTAGCGTGAACATAACCTTTCATTGTGTTGTTTGCATCAAGAGACTTCATCATTTGAGAGAGAAAAAAAACTTGTAATTTTGCTATTTCATGCATTCCTTCATTAATTATTCGTTATCCTCGATACGTGTGCTTTCAACGTACAGTATACAGTATGATTGTACCAGACTTCACACCAGTAATCAATGACAAGAAAGAGTCGAAGTATTTTCATTTTGTCGCTTGCATTTCGCAAAATTGCATCAATCGCCTTCTTGTAATGCGAGGCTACAACTCGAAGTAACGCAAAGCTGTGTATCCTTTTTTTTTGCCTCACAAATCAGGGCGCGCTAACTATGGTCCCTTCGTCGTTCTGTCTCCTCTAAAACTTACCAAACCGTGGCACGGAAGGTCATGGACATTAGAAGAAGCTGAATGGAACCAATAGTGGACAGTGCAATTAGTGTCGTCTGTATCGGAGAAAATCACTTCCACGATCATCTCCAAATATTATGTAAACTCTCTCTCTCTCTCTCTCTCTCTCTCTCTCTCTCTCTCTCTTTATGAATACTTCACTAAATTGAAAATATTAATTGAATTTAAATGTGTCATCTTGTAGAAGAAATTGAATTTTAATGTACCTTGTGACTGGATCTACACTTCATATCTTAATGTAATTGTTGTATACGACAGATCAATAGCAGTGTCATTGTGACAAAACTGTATGATATTGTTGACATTTGTACATTACTTGCAGTAAGGTGCTTTTTCCAGTAGTGCAAAAACGAGAACTGAAGACACTAGTCACATTATACACTTTATTGTATCAGGCAAAGTTGAAATGTAGTGTATATAAATTTATCACATAATGTACTGTGTTATTAAGTGAATATACCCATCTCATATTTGTTTGCGTATTAACCTATGTAATATGACCTATCAGCCCTGTGATTGGTTGTAAGTTTCAATTGTTTCAATTGTGACGTCACACCTAGGACAAGAACATGACATGTCTTCCGCACTGGAGTCAAAACGGCGGCTTTTTACATTTCAAAGTTGCATGAAAATTGTCGTTTTACACGAATACATGCCGCAAATCTTGATTATGTGATAAAAATGTTCTTACTTTCGTTTTCATTTCATATGGAATTTATAAAACTCGTCACGAATTTTTCATTTTAGCTCGCCAGAGGCTCGCTAAATTGAAATGTTCTCAGACTCCTTTTCTAATCTCCTATGAAATGGAAACTGATGTAAGATCCTATATATATATGTATACGATATTACTTGTTAGCTTACCTGTTGTTTTGTACAGGTCATGCACCTACTGTAACATTCCCTATACGTAATAATCAATATACAATGGAACTATGCCATAATTCAAAACTCGCATACGAAGTTATAGGTCTCCTCGCCCAACGTTAGTCAATGTCAAGATGACAAAAGTCTATAAATCTTCTTAATGGCTTACTGAGACAATTACATTTCTAAAAAAATACTTTAGAAAAAACGAATATCCTGTCCAAATGTCAACACATCTTTGTTTGCATACTGTCATTTTAAAAGCTGTCCTCAGATGTACAGATCAACTTAAATGAAACATTCATTTAAACAACTCCCATTCGCGTCCATGAAGTATTTCTTCCAAGACATGATATTCTTAAAGGACGTTTTTTTTCTAAATGTTACCAGTAAGGTAATCGTTCATTATTTCTTAATTGATACATTAAAAACAATTATAATATACATTTGTGTAAACAAAACCGTAATTCGAAGCCAAAAGCGATTTGGTTAACGCAAATATGCATATACAAATATTGACATGGAAGTATAAGGAGAAAAAAGTCAGGCGTTCTGGAAATGTAAAAGCCATCTCTTTCATTTCAGTCAAATCTGAGTTAGGTCACATGCTACTGAAATCACCACTATCCCTCAGTAACCCCACTTCCCTGACAGCAATGTGGATACGGTCGTTTATCGAGGAATATGGCCTGTTCTTATAAACATTAATAGTCTAACGATCTCTAGCTTGGACATTTTGAATTCCTCTTTAAGGATATCTTCCGTCAAATCTACGAACATCGGCCCATCAATGAGTTCTTCTTCAAACCTATTTGCATACCTCTGAAGTTTCAACTCCAGCATGCATTTTTTGATATCAGATACACTTTTGTGCTTTAGGGACTTTCGGATCGCTTCCGGATTTTCCGGCTTTTCCTTTCTCAAATCATCTACGTCCAGGTACGTGTATTCGCTGTCTAAAGGATCAGTATAGTAGGCACTCTGTTCATGCGGTTGTGGCCTATAGGGCTTGACTACAGCTACAGCCTTCTGAGTTGAATTGTCAGTTGGGATGGGTGGTAGAGCTCTGTTCTGAATCTTTTCCGGTTTATCATCTTGAACGCTGGTTTGTCTTGCTGGGAGTTTTGGTGGTGGTTTAATTTTCAGTTCTGGTATCAGGGTTGTCAAAACTTCCGGTACCATGTTTCCTGTTCCTGTTCCTTCCTCGGTGATCCTTGTCACGGCTTATCATAAAATAAATAATATAAATAGTGATTATGAGTATTAACAAAGAACACAGGCAGTTTACAATCAATATATCTTGAAACATTCCGTCAGGTACTTTCCCTGACATGTAACCGTATTGGCTTGCATCGGAAAAGTCCAAAAGATCAATTACAAAAGTTTGAAGTCCTCTAAGAACGTTATAGTTACACAACATGTAGGCAACACTTCGGATTTACCATCACCATCTCAGTGGTATACTAATGTACAGCTATGTAGGGAGTGATTTGTGATTCTGAGTTCGTAACAGATACTGTTACGGATACAGTTTAACGCTAGAGAACGTTTAAGACTATTTTCATATTGTAAAACACTTTTTCATAATCGCTTAGAGGTAACGGAATCATAAATTTCCTAGGAGATTTGGTTATTCGACCTCTTATTGGCCACACCATTAGGGCATAATACGTAGATTGTCAAAACAAGTATACTTTACCAGGGCCCAGTTGTTCAAAAGGTGGTTAGCTTAGTCACTGTTTAACGACATTTTTCAATCTTTAACAATTTCGTCACTATTCAAGGTAAAACCTCAAAATTTTGCATGTAAACTCACTTTACGAAACATTTGATATCTAGAAAGTTGTCACTAATTCAATGTTACTGATTACGCTAATCACCTTTTGAACAACTGGGTCCTGTTTTCTAACGGAATTCAACATTATGTTGGTTAAGACAGTATGACGATAGACTTCGATATCCAACTGGATAGGATTCATTCATAGTTATTAACAAATGAAGCTGTGATTCTATTAAAGTCAATATACTGAAGTTAATGTGAAAAAAAAGAAAAATACCTTGTATCTTTAAAGTTTAATGATTCAAGCTGTCATTACTTATATATATTCTATTGTATGCTACAGACAATAATGTGTACAATTGTTAACATATATACAAATGTGAACACTGAACAATATCATAAAATATATTATAGGATAATAATAGGAATGCATCCATTACATTCATTTTCTCCATACCTGGGTTCCCAGCATTAATGTCAAACGTCACGCCATTTTCTCGTAGGAACCTCTCCATTGTAACTAGATGTTTTTTAAAGGTTTCTTGTGACTTTCCGTGTATTCCTGTGATCTCGGCATACACGATACGGGGACTGAGGGCTGCCAATGTGACTCCGGGATTTATAATTCCTACCAGAAACACAAATAAAGGTTAGTGCGATCCGGAGGTGAACATATCTATCGGGCAGTACGACCACTTCCACAGACACAACTGCATTGCTACCTTTTTCTCTATATAGCCTTTTTTGTTCTTTCTACGTAAAGGGGAGGCAGTGAAACGTTCCCCTCGAACAGTTAGATGTGCAACAGAAACGTCAATTACGTTTTCCTGGATTTTCACATTTGCTGGTGCTAAAAGCGATTTTGAGACTAAGATCGGTAATCTTAAACGATTTTCATGCAGTTTTGTTGTACTTTCACATTAAATAAAATGGCAAAATGTAATTGTTATGTAAAAAGATATGTTGAAATCGGTTTACTTATATTCATTTATTTATATTTTTTTTGGTCTTAAAATTAGTGTTCAGAGATAGCAGATCAGTTGTAGCGACTAGGACTAAAATGGAAACTTTGTGGAAATGAATTGCATTTCTGTAAATTTGACAGAAGATTTCAGGATTTCGTGTTTTTCCGGAATTTTGGTTTTATAGATTTCTCTGTTTCCAAAACAATAATGACAGAGCGTATACCTATGAATACGATATTACTTTTCAAGCGACAATAACTTCAGTATGCATTTGTAAACTAAACAGTACAATTACGATGATTATAGATAATCTATGTCACAATAAAACCACCTTTTAAATAAAGTTAGATTAAGTGAATAATGAAAGTCCTAACGCTAATCTCGTACACGCATGATTGAGTTGAGAGAGATATATCGTAACTTAAGGAGGAAACAAAAACTACAAAAAATAAAGAAAAAATCAAATAGTGTTAACTACTAAGGAACCGTTTACCGAAGATGCAATAAATCCTGCTACGATGACGTGAAGGTTACATTTATACATATCGCAGTTTTAATGCTAGTGAAATTTCCACGGCCAATGTAAAGTATTTCGGGTTGATGGTATGAAACAAAGTGTTGATTGGCGACTAGGGTCATATTCCGTCTTTGCGTATTGCAGAGTTATCTTCTCTTGGGAGCAGTTATTGATTGTTACGTCACTTGTTTGTGAAAGTAACGTCATCAATTTTTGAGAAAACGACGTAATTTTCTCACACAAACAAATGACGTAACAATCAATACCTGCTCCCAAGAGAAGATAACTCTGCAATAAGCAAAGACGGAATAATGGGTTGTTAACTATTGTCATATCCAAGCTTCTGTTTTTATAGAGAAGTTTTTTAGTGTTTAGAATTGCTGGTATTGAAAGGCTAGGCGATGAGGTACGATACTATAATTCGTGAATTCGTAAGTTACCTATAAAACACAACACATCAACTAATGCGCTTCAGTGCCAGTATGCGAGGTAACCAATGAAACGAGGGACTATTTGCAGCCATTTTACTGCAGTATATACTCTAAAACATCCAATAACTACATACGTACAAATAGGTTCGGAAACATTATCACAAATATTGTTGACATATCAGATTATGTCCATGTTTTTAAAAATAATTTGGACATTATTAACTTGTAAGTCGATGCAAGAAATATGTTACAATAGCTTTGAATATAGAACAGCTATGGAACAGGATATATGCAACTAAACTGTTCAAGTGGTTTCGTAGATAAACCGGAATTCGGGCATAAGCCTGACTTCGAAAAATAAACTGGGGTTCCTTACTAAAACTGAAAATTTTACTCGCGGCTTGTTATTTAGAATTTATTGCACTTTGTTATACTTATATATTATGGCGTGACATTTGAGAAATGGAAAAATAAGATTGCTTAGGTAATGCTCATGTCTTTAGATGTGAGAGTTACAATGTTTGTATTTCGTACCCTTGTCAAGGCAATTTCCTGTAAAGAAATTTTCTTCGTATTCAGAAATTATTAACAGACTAGCGATTCTCTCTGTGTGGTCCAACATCTCGTTGATTTTGACGTATTTGCACCTGGGGGAAAACTTGACCATGACTGGGCACGTGTATTCTTTTAAAATGTCACTGAAGCTCATTGGCTCGGTACCTGCAAAATATAACATGCAATTTGCTATATCGGTAGGGAGTTAGTCACTCATCTTGGAAATATATATTTGCCGGTGGTTAAGAATACAAACAATATAATGTGTGTTGCAATGCATGGATATTTGCAAAAACTGGTACTAGTACGTACGCTAATTTCGGTATTATTGGAATAATATCTGTCCACATTTATGTTATTATATCTGAAGTGAAAAAGAATCGCTGTAGCAAAGATAATAATTGTTACTCTTTCACAACTCGCTTTGTAATGGGTATAACATCAAGAGAGTGTTAGGATTTTTTTTATCTCATTTTAAGTGACACTGAAATGATATTTCGCAAACAGATGCATTGATTGGAACTTACAGTTATTTCTGCTTTTTATCACGCAGAATGTGTATGGTGAGTCTACAGGGAAGGAAAGGTAGTTACACTTGAGTGGGTCTTGTTTGACACGTGTCTCCTTGACAACTACACGTCGCTGACGTGTATACGCCTGAATTCGGTACACCTACAAAGCACAGTAGCTGATAATGACAATTGGCCAATATTTGCAATATCATACTATATCCACTGCAATTTGCATCACACACATCAGCATAAAATGCTGCACAAATTAAATACAGAGAATATCAAACAGTATCACACTTTCACTTTAAAAAGTACAGAAATATCAATGGAAGAAAATATACTATCTACTGTCAAGATGATAAATATTAGAAATCTGTCGGGGTTTCAACGAACAAAATCATTTCAACATTTAATCGACATATATTTTTGCGTAACACGATCAACGTGTTCAATGCAATTGTCTGGTTAAGCCCAATACATGAAACTGTTGATGTTTTGATTAATACATTTAACCTAAAACGAAAAAGAACTGAAACAACGAGCTTTTTAAAAGGGGGTTAACAAAATGTACCTGCTCATCAGAGAAGTCATCAAATACAGTCTTTCCATAGTCACCCTCTGTGACGATAGCTAGCAACGGAAATCGGTCACGGTACTTTTTCAGAAGCTTTGGACCGTTGAGGCCATTGTTTTCGTCATATTCGTATGGAAATCGAGTTTTGACCTGAACAATAATAAATCATGTAATGAATTTAAAGTAACAGGCACACATATTTATCCCACAAACACTGTAGGTGTCCTCACTCATGACTCATTGGATAAACCTTCTAGGAGTTGATAAACATGTTTGATTACCTGCCAGTGGATAACACCCTGGACGTGATTTCATTGCTCAATCTTCTAATTATGACATTAAGTAACAATGCTTTGCGACGTCATCTGCAATTGTGACGTCATAGTTCATAACACTGTTTCCCCGATCATCAACAGGAATAAGGTATTCCTAAGAGAAACATAAGGTTTTTCTAGGTATGCTATTATATGGACGTTGTGGGAGAAAAAAGGCCCCTAAATTCGTGATGGTTGATAGCCATGTTTGTCTAACTCTTGTAAATTAATTGAACTAACTCGAGTTAGATAAACATGATAAACAACCACCTCTCGTTTGGGAACCTTTATATATTGTTTAGATTGAAAGAAAAATTACAAATATTCTGTTCAGAAAATAATGATTTGTGTTTGCTTTGAAAAGAGTTTGAGAGGTTTAGTAACGATAACCTTTTTGGACCTTTACAGATTACTTCAATCAAAATGTTTCATGAAACTTTGTCGATAAATACAACGGTGATAGTGATCAGAATGAGTGTGACGGTGCAATTTTATTTTTAGTAAAAGCGACGTTGATTTTTGCAAGTAGTGCAAGAATACATGTGAAATTTTATGAAACCCGATCAGGAAATAGTGACTCTGTAATAATGAGTTTAGATAAGACATCTGCAAACAAGCCAGTGAAGTGTCGTGAAATTCTCTCGAGTAATATGGCCGTTAGAATGATAACAGGGGGCTCTGCATAACTACGGAGAAACATTGCATCGTTGCGATGGGAAAAATAAAGATTACACCACAGTCAAACTTTACAAAACACAAACATTTCGTGATAAAGGCTTGATTAAAATGCTACATGTGTAAAACCCGTTTGCGATTTAAGTTAAATTGAGCAATGAGATTAACCAAACTTAATTGTGTAAGACGAGTGCAACTCTGACTTATACTTCATTAACGCTAAAAAGATCCTGAATTTTAGTTTGGCTTAAGGATGTTGGTTACAATTAATACAGCCCATGTACAATAATGACAAATCAAATTTAATTTTAGGCAGAACTTTGAAAAAACATTTAATACATTTACTAAACGACCAAAAAGCTATTTATATATGAAATAGAGATAACAAATACCAGAGTCAACAACTGAGAACAAAATACAGCAATAACAATAAAAGACAAAATATACCACAGCGTCAACACACAATGACAAATATACCACAACGTCAACACACAATGACAAATATACCACAGCGTCAACACACAATGATAAAATATACCACAACGTCAACACACTATGACAAATATACCACAACGTCAACACACAATGACAAATATACCACAGCGTCAACACACAATGACAAATATACCAAAACGTCAACACACAATGACAAATATACCACAGCGTCAACACACAATGACAAAATATACCATAGCGTCAACACTCAATGATAAAATATACCACAACGTCAACACACAATGACAAACTATACCACAACGTCAACACACAATGACAAATATACCACACCGTCAACACACAATGACAAATGTACCACAGCGTCAACACACAATGACGAAATATACCATAGCGTCAACACACATTGACAAATATACCACAACGTCAACACACATTGACAAACTATACCACAACGTGAACACACAATGACAAACTATACCACAGCGTCAACACACAATGACAAAATATACCATAGCGTCAACACACAATGACAAATATACCACAACGTCAACACACAATGACAAACTATACCACAGCGTCAACACACAATGACAAAATATACCATAGCGTCAACACACATTGACAAATATACCACAACGTCAACACACAATGACAAACTATACCACAACGTCAACACACAATGACAAATATACCACAACGTCAACACACAATGACAAAATATACCACAACGTCAACACACAATGACAAATATACCACAACGTCAACACACAATGACAAACTATACCACAGCGTCAACACACAATGACAAATATACCACAACGTCAACACACAATGACAAACTATACCACAGCGTCAACACACTATGACAAATAAACCACAGCATCAACACACAATGATCAGATAAACCACAGCATCAACACACAATTACAAAATTATATCACAGCGTCAGCACACAATGACAAACTATACCACATCATAAATACACCAGGACAAAATATTGAACAGCATCAACACACAGTGACAAAATATACCACAACGTCAACACACAATGACAAATATACCACAATGTCAACACACAATGACAAACTATACCACAGCGTCAACACACAATGACAAACTATACCACAGCATCAACACACAGGGCCAAACTATACCACATCAAAAAAACACCAGGACAAAATATTGAATAGCATCAACACACAGGGACAAACGATACCACATCATAAATACATCAGGACAAAATATTAAACAGCATCAACACACAATTGCAAAATTATATCACAGCGTCAGCACACAATGACAAACTATACCACATCATAAATACATCAGGACAAAATATTGAACAGCATCAACACACAGGGACAAACTATACCACATCATAAATACACAATGATCAAAATATTGAACAGCATCAACACACAGTGACCACAGCATCAATACAAAAGGACAAAATATACCACAACATATATATACAATGACAAAATAAACCACAGCATAAATACACAGTGACAAAATATACCACAACAACAACACCCAATGACAAATATACCACAACATCAATACAAAAGGACAAAATATACCACAGCATAAATACAAAAGGACAAAATATACCACAACATATATATACAATGACAAAATAAACCACAGCATAAATACAAAAGGTCAAAATATACCACAGCATAAATACAGAGTGACAAAATATGCCACAACATCAACACCCAATGACAACATTTACCACAGCATAAATAACAATGACAAAATATACCACAGCGTCAACACACAATCACAAAATCTACCAGTGCAAGCACACAAGGAAAATGATATACTTTAGTGCGAACTGCTATCACAGAAAGAATAACTAGTACCGAACTGACGTTTCACAAATAAAAAGAAATTATTAACCTTTATACTGTAACGGCATTAATGTACTAATGATTTCTGATTTCAATCACAAATTTTGAACAATATTGCCATTCCGAAGAGAAAGATCACTAAATGATTATATTAAAGCAAGGCATACAATTATTTTGGAAACACTTCCTTGTAGTATTATCTACTACATACATACATTACCTCATAGTCCATCATGGAATCCCGGATAACCTGAAAAAGATAACAATGTCAAAATATGTAATGTATATCAATTTCAAATGGATATTCAGGACTATTTACCCGTTAGCTATAATTGAAGGTGGACCTAACTGCCGTACCTCAACTAAAAAGTATTCCAGTTTATTTCCCAATTAAACAAAGAAACATAATATAATGGAGATCATGTACGACTCAGCGTGCTAACATCTGGGCCAACAAAATTGATAACAATTAAATACGTTCCATATTTTCACGACTCTTATCACTGATGGAAAAATTGCCTCAAACGTGCATATTATTTAGCACTATACATAGCGGTACACTTTGCTTGCATGTGTATCAAAGGAAGATGGGAGATCAGAGAATTAAGATATTTGTTGTTTCCTATCAGCTTATTCCATAGGGATTGGTAATAAATATTCAATATATTGTTTGTGATAGATCATTTCAACATACTCCTTTCAAAATGCAAACCATGTTAGTTTGATTTCCGCTAATGTTCAATATCTTTTTGGTAAAACTTACATGCATTTTATTTTTAATGTTTTAAGAGATATGTTTTATATTAACCGTATGATATGTATTTTTTATACTGTATTATATGTACTATATTAACTGTATGATATATATTATATTAACTGTATAATATGTATTATATTAACTGTATTTTATGTATTATATTAACTGTATGATATGTATTATATCAACTGTATGATATGTATTATATCAACTGTGTTATATGTATTATATCAACTGTATGATATGTATTATATTAACTGTATGATATGTATTATATTAACTGTATTATATGTATTATATTAACTGTATGATATGTATTATATCAACTGTATGTTATGTATTATCTCAACTGTATGGTATGTATTATATTAACTGTATGATATGTATTATATCAACTGTATAATATGTATTATATTAACTATTTCATATGTATTATATTAACTATTTTATATGTATTATATCAACTGTATGTTATGTATTATATTAACTGTATGTTATATATTATATTAACTGTATGATATGTATTATATTAACTGTATGATATGTATTATATTAACTGTATTATATTATTATATTAACTGTATGATATACATTATCTTAACTGTATGATATAATGACACAATCGAAACTTGACGAGCCATATATTGGTGATAATCCTAGGAAGAATATTTTACAAATTAATGTGTTTTTAAAGAAGAAAAACCGTAACGCATGGGAACCCATCTTAAGAGACAGCATCAAATTGTCACATTGTACTTTAACTTCACAACATTCATCTGAATTAATACTTATCACTCATATATATATATATAAGTTTTTATAAGTTTTGAATTATGTAAGAAATGAGGAGTCATCAACGCCTGAGTATTCCTGAAGTGTGTCATATATACACTACAACGTTGTGCTATGTTAAACAATTAATGATTGGTGCGCTGCATGCAGGATACAAGAGACATGAAACGGAAAGCAATAATGATAGTATATGCTTAAGTGAAATCTAGTTAAAGTTTGATTTAATGGGCGAATCTGGTCGAGTGTTTATATATTATGCAACCTTCCCAAAAGATGGCCGAGTTTCAATGACCAAATCAGTCACAGCATGGACACTCAGTGAAAGCGTTGTGACGCCTGGCAACACAACTCCAATACCTCATGTGAAGTACAAACGGTACCGGATGGGTGACACAGTGTGTGTGCTGTAACGTTTAATGGGGGAAAAAGAGGTCCCAAGTATGGTCCCATCGCAAAACAGAACTCCTTATATACAGAGAATTAACAAGGCAGGAAGCAAGCAACTAGTATTTAGTGTCTGATAAAGCATGCAGCCCCTGCAGAACTATACTGCTAGTTGTATTTATAGTATTCATTGAATGCATTTCTAACCTTAGATTGACGTTTGTCTAGCTGAACATCATGTCAATAACAGTGTAAACAGTATAGTCATAAAATATTGGTGACCTCAACTTTATCTGCATGAATCATCAGTTTATAATATAATATATAATAATATAATAGTACTTGACGCAGGCATATGCCTATATATCCAGATCAGGTGTATCGTCAGACTCTAAGCTGACACCCCGACAGTTAATATTTCATTATTATCAATTTCATGGTTATGATAGCATTCTGGTTTTCCCCAGTGCTTATCCAGTCGGGCTTCAAACGTTTTTAGTGTTAGTGATGTGACGACGTGGTTTGGCAGTGGGTTCCAATGGTTGACTACTCTTTTTTCAATGGCATACTTTTTTAAGTTTAATTTACACACTCCTTTTCCAAGTGGAAGGCTATGACTTCATGTTCGTTTGTTATCGTTTATATTTAAAAACCCTTCCGTTACAGAAGTGTCATAGCATCCGTGTGACAATTTGTAAACTTGTACCATATCCCCTCGTAATCTTCTGTGTTTTTACGTTGGTAATGTTAGTACCTTTAAACTGGCTTGATAACTTAGTTCTTTCATTCCTGGTATTTGTTTTGTTGCTCTCCTCTGCACATTTTCAATTTCGTTAATGTCCTATTGAACGTATGGATTCCAAATGCAAGCTCCGTATTCCAGATGTGGTCTCACGATCGCTTTATACAAGAGACAAAAAAATGTTGCATCTAAATATGTATATGTTCTTCTTATTGTCCCCATTATCCTATTTACCTTGTTGACCGATTCATGTATATGATCAGTAAATTTAAGTTTGTTGTTTGTAATTACTCCGAGATCATTTTCTTTGTTAATGTTTTCTAGTATCACATTGATTCTCCCTTCATCGGTGTCTTTATACAAGTATAGCGGCGTGGTATTGATATTTTTTCCTAGGGTAAGTACTTTGCATTTGTCCGGATGGAATTTCAGTAGCCATGTATCTGACCATTTTCGGAGCTCGTCCAGGTTTTCCTGTAGGTTGATATTTTCGCTGTGATTATACATTTTAATGTCATCCGCGAATAAAAATGTTGATGATTTTATCAGTTCTGGTAGGTTATTGATGGTCAATGAACAATGATGACCCGAGGACACTGCCCTGAGGGATTACACTGGTTTATTCCATCCATTTTGATGCTTTGCCATTTACTGATACCCTTTGTTTCCTATTTGATATAAAACATTTCACCCAATTTATAATTTCAGGTGAAAGTCCGTATGAATGTAATTTAGCTATTATGCGCTTATGTGGTACAGTATCAAATGCCTTCATGAAATCTAGATACACAGTTTGGATTGATCCTCCTTGGTCGAGTTTTTTCGTCCAGTTATCAATGACCTTTAGTAGTTGTAGTATCGTCGATCTTGCTTTGACAAGCCCGTATTGGTGCGTATTTAATAAATCATTTTCTCCAAGTGGTCCATTATTCTTGTTCTTATAATTTTCTCCATGATTTTACATATCATACTGGTGAGACTTACTGGTCTATAGTTCCCTGGCGTTTTCTTCTCCCCATTTTTTTGAATTGCTGTTATCTGCCCCTCCTTCCAGGTGACCGAAAGTTCTCCATTTTCGTGTGACTTTTTGAAAATTTCACATGAAGGTGTTTTAATTATTTCCACTGATTCCATTAAAACTTTAGGGTGAATGTTGTCTGGTTCCGGCGTTTTTTGACGGGTTTAAGGTTTTCAGTTCATTTAGCACTTCCTTCTTTGTTATTTTAGTAACTCTAAATGGACTTCGTATGGTGTAATTATTTAGAACAGGTATATCATTTTGCGGTTCGACTGTAAATACGCTTGAGAAGAAATCCGCTGATACGTTTGCTTTTTCCAGGTCAGTCTGGGCTATTTCGGTTGTTTCTCCTTTCTTAACATTTAGTTCCGATATTCCGGTGTTTGTTTATGGAACTTAAGGTAACTTGTAAGCATATTAAATGAGCACTGACTATTTCTGATCAAATAAAATCACTTAAATAAGTACTGTAGACAATATATAAAATAAGAGCTATTGACCACGTTTAAGATCCGACTAACATTGAAAAATAGACGAAACGTGTCGTAGGAATCGAAAGTTTACTTTAGTAAAAGGGTTTAGTTGTGTCCTGGGAACAACAGTAAGATCTACATCGACATCAAAATAAATAACAGTAAGAGATACCTCGACATTCAAATAAATATCAGAAAGATATACCTCGACATACAAATAAATATCAGTAAGATATACCTCGACATACAATAAATATCAGTAAGATATACCTCGACATACAAATAAATTACAGTTAGATATACCTTGACAAACAAATAAATATCAGTTAGATATACCTTGACATACAAATAAATATCAGTTAGATATACCTTGACATAGAAATAAAAACAGTAAGATATACCTTGACATAGAAATAAATATCGGTAAGATATACCTCGACATACCAATAAATAACAGTTAGATATACCTTGACATAGAAATAAAATCAGTAAAATATACCTCGACATTCAAATAAATATCAGAAAGATATATCAAAACATACAAAAAAATAGCAATAAGATAAACATCGACATAATAATTAATATCAATAAGAAATACCTAGATTTACAGATAGAAAACAATTAGATTATCTCGATTTACAGATAGAAAATAGTAGGATTATCTCGACATATAAACAAAAAAACCAGTAAGATATACCTTGACAAACAAATTAATATCAGTAAGATATACCTCGACATACAAATAAATATCAGTAAGATATACCTTGACATAAAATTAAATAGCAATAAGATATACATCTTCTCACAGATAGAAAACAGTAAGATTATCTTAACATTCAAATAAAAAACATTAGTATATACCTCGTCATACAAATAAATATCAGTAAGATATACCTCGACATACAAATAAATAGCAGTAAGCTTATCTCGACATACAAATACACAACAGTAAGTTATGTCTCGACATTCAAATAAATATCAGTGAGATATACCCTGACATACAAATAAATGTCAGGAAGATGTACCTCGACACACAAATAAATAGCAGTAAGATATACCCTGACATACAAATAAATAGCAGTAAGATATACCCTGCCATACAAATAAATATCAGTAAAATATACCTTGACATAGAGATAAATATCAGTAAGATATACCCTGCCATACAAATAAATATCAGTGAAATATACCCTGCCAAACAAATAAATATCAGTGAGATATACCCTGACATACAAATAAATGTCAGGAAGATGTACCTCGACACACAAATAAATAGCAGTAAGATATACCCTGACATACAAATAAATAGCAGTAAGATATACCCTGACATACAAATAAATGTCAGGAAGATATACCTTGACATACAAATAAATATCAGGAAGATATGCCCTGCCATACAAATAAATATCAGGAAAATATACCTTGACATAGAGATAAATATCAGTAAGATATCCCCTGCCATACAAATAAATATCAGGAAGATATACCCTGCCATACAAATAATTAGCAGGAAGATATACCCTGACATACAAATAAATAGCAGTAGCATATAACGCGACATACAAATAAATAGCATTATCATATAACGCGACATACAAATACACATTAGATATGCCTCGACATATAAATATTAGTACTGATGAGACTAACTTACCTGATAATTATGTATCTCTCAGCTTACAACTCCAACAACAGATTCAAACATTTGTTAAGACACCACCATTTCAGGACATATGTCCTAGATATCTCCGTTAAGAATCCCAGTTCTCCTTATTGCCCTATCAATAACAACCAGGAAGTCAGACCACCAATAAACACATGCACTGGTAAGTGTTCTTTTCCTCTGGTTAGTTTGCTAGTAAGGTTACATATTATATGTTACTGTTATTTCTATCTGTGTATGGTAATATCCATTGTAACTTAGTTGTATCGCAGTAGTCCAGTCACTCACTCTTAAGACTTGTAGTCCGGTATATAAGCAATGGCTACCTTTTGTAATATACCTGTACAATTATAACACAACATGATATCGTATGCGTGTAACTCTGTTACAGTGGCCAGCTACACGTTTTACTCGTATACCTGATGAGTTGGGGATTGAGTTTCAAAACAGCCAAGCAAGCATAACCAAACACCGTGTACACGATAGGAACGAAATTTATAATGCAGTGCACCTATACAGCATACACATGCACTGACGAAATAGGACAAATTACAATATCAATACGCAAGATATAAACGAAATATATTATGCAATACACCTATACAGCTAACACATGCACTAACGAAATAGGACAAATTACAATATCAATACACAAGATATAAACCACGAAAGAAGACACGTTTACAATACATAAAAGAATTGTTAAAAAGAACATGAGATTTCGTTTCATTTTAACAGAGAGTTTGATAAAAAAAAATCGTGGCGAAGAGACATGAATTTGAAGATATCGATTTCCGAATTGGCCAATCAGAACGTTACTTTCCATTTACTGCATTCAGAACCGCAGACTTTGTGTTCAGTTGTATATGAAACGACGGTAAAACAAGTGGCGTTTTACATACGCTATGGTATTAACTAAACTTCCACTGGTGTACATTTTAAAACAATTCGTTTTATGTAATAGCTGGAACCAGTTGAACTGTATTGGGTAACTAGTTCAAAAATTGCAGACAGCCTTGTCGTAAATGTTGCGTCGTTAGATAACGCTACTTATTCCCGACTGTTTTATAGAGTAACATTTTCCTTGTTGTTAACGAGATGTAGGTACAATGTACTTAAAAAAATAGAACATTGAATTTTCCCCGCTGAATACGCGAAGACGTTTCAGTCGTATGACAGAATATACTTATATCATTTACTCGTGAAGAATACCGGTATCCTGCAATGAAATTGAATACGTTTTCAACGATAAGCCATTTATCCCCTACACTGGTCAGTCGCCAATACAGCATTCATATAAATAATGCAAAGTTGTGACTTATAATGTGTGGAACCAGTTTGTTAGAAACTCTGTACAAAGTCCAAAGTTAAGCTTACTAGTAATACATCAGTGTTACAGGAAATTCCTCTCGTTCTTGCGTTTTGCTTCCGGTCCTATTCTATACGGTATTATTGTTAAGGCTGTCATTGCCATACGGAGTTCCAGGAGAGCACACTGCCATCAATGGCAAGGTGGCTAATGCGTTTGTTGACGGACGCTGTTTCACCACTTTAGCCTATAATAAGACTTAAACGTTCACATTGCATTATACAGTATTTGAGTACCAAAAAAACGCTTAAATCTCTTCAGGAAATAACCAGTATTAGTAAAGTTGTGATGATGTAAAAATCGGCTGGTTGAATATTGGCTGTTGAAGGGGTATGTTCGGATCGTTATTTCAATAGCACGTGATAGATGGAGCTTTATTTGAGTGATTGATCTTAAAATTGTAGGAATACACTTAATGATGATTTTGAAATCTATTAGTTTGGCTTTTTGCAGTTGTTGGGTGTGTATGTTTGTACAAAATTTGTATGTATTTAAAAACATCGACGAAACATATGAAAATTAATACTTGAATTGCGTATCTGTATGTTGTTTTACGTTTATTTTATTTTTCGTACATTTCTGTTTTCTCAGTATGCCATGTTAAGTTGTGGGAAGAATCTGGTTCAAGTCATCGTCAATGTTTGTCTTTCCGTACAAAACACTGATAACAATTTTTTTTAAATTGAATTCCCACTCCAAGATACTGTCTGTAGTAACTATATCTACATACATGTCATTGATATGCTTATCTGTTACTACAGCTCAAAGTAAGCAAATACAGAACTTATATCGTCATTTTAGCAATATAGTTCATAATTGTTGTAACCGTTTTTATTGCAGTGAACAATTAAGAGGAATTATGAGAAGTTCTTTTTACACAACCAATAAAGTTTTCTATGTGACGTTTCGATGACTAGTACGATATGTACACTGTTACCTTCATCAGACAAATGACCAGTGAAGTGTATGCACATCTATGACCAAGTGTTAACAAAGCGTAGCTGAATTGAGTCATTTCGGAACAGACACATGTATAACAACTATTGTACATACGTTTCCAGCGTAGCCGAAATCGACATCGATAGTATGGACAACTCGTACACATTTTACACCTTTGTCTGCATACGCTTCATTGGTCATTTGTCTGATGAAGGTGACAGTGTACATATCGTACTAGTCATCGAAACGTCACATAGACAATTTTATTGGTTTTGTAAAAAGAACTTCTCATAATCCATGCTTACCAACCTGAAGAAAATATTTAGAAATTAAGAGGAATGTGTAAGCGAGTGATTCATACTCGGGTAAGGTTTCGAGGAGATTCATATCACGACTGTTCATTCCACAGATAACTACAATTGATATTACAACAGCATCGCCTCAATTGTTAATTCATCAAATCGCAAATAGAGCCCACACGCACAGTTCTCAAAATAAAGTACACGCAAAAATATCGTGATTTACAATGCAGGCATGCTGTTAGCAACCCACAGTGGCCCCCTTTCAACATTTGTACTTGTAGATAGTACCGTTCCTGTCGTTCGGCCGCATAGAAAGTGGATACTTGCCTCCACCAACTGTTATAAGGCGAAAATGAAACATTGCAAATAAACTAAGTGTGAAATAAAGTAGCAATTGATAAATTCAGATTTAAAAGAGCAACAATACGACGAGCACCCTCTTTAGATACCCTGGTCGCTATTGCTCTTATTCTTTATAGTGTCTTTTTTTCTATTCGTATCTAGTATTTCATATTGGCCTTTTGGCAGGTATACATGTTTCGCTGTTTGGAAGAAAAATCATCAAAAGATCATTTTAAAATGCCTTCTAGTTATATTATTTAACCATTATGTCATCTACTGTAACGTGCGCGGTAAAAATAAATTACACGTTTCATAGCAAAGTTTATTAAGACAACCAACAAGGTCTGAAGAAATGAACGAGTTATTTCCAATCGAACGTATTTGGGTCAGGTGCGACAAATGGAAGAGACCGTAGAGAGGAAGATGATATTTGAAGACTTCACATAAGCCATTCCTGCATGACGCAGTTATACATTTTAGAAATTAAGATCAACAGTATTGCCAAGCTTGCGATTAATTGTTACAGTCAAATACTTGATTCATTAAACGTTTGTTTGATGCCGTTGCTGAAGTTGGTAATGTATATTTAAATTCAATTGCCGTTTGCTAACGAAGTTTAAGTTTGATGTGTTTCCTTCTGTGATCATCTGTTGCTACACTACAATTATTTGAATTATCGATTGGCCTTCAACTAATGCAAAACATGCTGGTAATATGTATAAGTATTATTTTTAGAAATAATCAACATAAATATATGTGCGTATGCTGACGGACTATATAACGAGGATGATATAATATTGTAATGACATTCTTTTTCGCGTCTACCCCAGTGTCCATACGCCTTTCATTAGCAAGGTGACCTAGATACTCGAATTGCCTAAATAAAGCTGATCTGTTGCATGTTGTAATGTGATGTATGATGCCTCACGGCATGTTTAGCGAAACATTCTCATTGTGAGCCTGAAAGGTATTTAGTAGATCTAGATATTTTTTGTCCGCATGCAAATCTGAAAATATTTATAAAATTAAATGAGGGAATCCTCGAACACAAATGAAACCAGTCCAAAGACTAGCTTGTTTACCGGTACATTTGCGTGGAGGTTTTTGGAAGAGCGTTGGTCTGATAAAAATTATACACGCACGAGCTTGGTCTATTGTCCTATACTATATAGAGAATAATACATGCCTTTTTCCATATCACACCCAGCATCAACCCGCGACTGCAATATCAGCCCAAGGGCCGAAGGCCCGAGGGCTGATATTGGTCGAGGGTTGATACCTGGTGTGATATGGAAAAAGGCGTGTTTTAATCTGTTTATTACATACTTACTAATAAAAACTACTATCTTATGATTTATTTTTATTTTTGAAATATTGAAAAACTTTTTTTTCTTTCCAAAAGGTGTGTGATATGGGTTTTGCGGGCTGATACGGGTTTTAGGGGTGTGATACGGCGGGGGCTGATACGGGTTTTGGGGTGTGATACGGCGAGGGCTGATATGGGTTAGAGCAATTGTGTCATATCGCATATACAAAAAAAAAAAACGTATTTATTAGTAAGTATGTAATAAATAGTTAAAAACCATTAAAAATGGCATAACATAATTAATGCGGTAGCGTATATACACAAATGAAGAGTGAACGCATGACTAATCATTTACAGATGTGTGTAACAATGTCACTGGAGTGTAACGATCAATGACCGATTGGTTATCTTGTTGACATAGCACAGTAACTCCACCAAAATCAATAAATATAATCTCATATAAGCGAACGAAATTATTTTATTTCAAAACTTATCTTCAATAATTAAAGCATTACTCCGGCAAGACTTAAGCATACCATCACAAACATCTGACGATATTTTAAGCAGGACTAAAGCCTGCAATCACAAACATCTGACGATACTTCTGAAGTAATATATCACACGTATAACGACCCAACATAACATCATACATTAATGTGCTTTAGAACACTTCTCTTCTGGATTGATATTTATGAAACGAATTACTTTATCGCGAACAAAATGTTCTACGTTATAGAGGTTAATATGTAATAAGTGTGTGCATGCTATGTGTGTTTTATTGTACCAGAACGTGTAACGGATGTGTTTATATTGTGTGTGTTCTAGTGCACATTCCTTTCCGTTTATAAGTGTATAAGTGTTCTTGTTCGTCGTGTTTTAGTGCACATGTATCTGTATACCCGGTATCAGTATTGGAAATAGAGAACAACATTGAATCGGTAGTGATATACCTATATACACATACACCCTATTAGCGCTGTATAAGTATATCGATTATCTTTCTCTTTATAATTTTGTCACACTTTCGTGTTCAAATATTTGTAACAGGTTCATGCCGGTCAGTATACAATAAACACATACTTAAAATTTCACTTATATATGACAAAACATTTCGCAATAACTTGCATAGATATAACGGTAGATAAAACATCTTATCAGGGAGGCAGAGAGCCAATCTAATATGTTGCATTCTATTAGCTTAATGGCACGTGCTGCTACACTATGACTTGCGCACAAAACCGTTCCTCACTACATGTACCAAATCTGTGGAATAAAGGCAAAATCATTGGTATCGCACGACAACATGTAAATATTATGAGAATATAACTGCTGATAATGACAGGCATATCATCCATAATATATATGAGCATTTTGGGGCGAAAACACATCGGAACATGGAAACATAGACGAGCATATTCACAAAGGTTACACATCATACCAAAGTCTTAAGAATCATGATAACAATGCAGTTTTAAAAAAAATCACGGGGAAAAAATAAGGTAACATTGCAAACGTAGAACAAAAATAACACTAAGACCATACTGGAAACCGCTGATTATTAAAGCAACGACGCGTGTACAATTGTTATATGGAAAATGTAAACAATTATTCCATCACAAAAAAAAAGATAAAAATACACTTTTTCGTCAACATTTATAAAAATGAAAAAGAAAGAGTAAATTAAATATCAAAATCAGAAAATATGCAGAAGTGCTGATTATGCTCGACAATGATATAGTTGATAAGATTAAAAATAACAAACTGAAATATGTTAAAACCCTTGTGTTAGATGATCTATAGTAACACTGGCTTCAACAATCACTCGAGCGTTTCTCCGTGACAGTAAAACGTTGACATGCGCACCGTACCACAACATAATAAAGATGCATTAATGTATTGTTAACATATATTTGTTTGCCTGTTGTATGTTAGAGCCAAATGACGAGTATACTATTCATTTCTGCATAACACATGTGAACTCGGGCTGCATTACGTAATACAGGCGTAGTTCGTTAACCTTCCGTAGTGAAGCTGCCATTAGATTATTGTTATTATGCTGATTTAAAATAACGTTAAACTTAATTGCATGAATAAGTTGTTAAAACAAAAGATTTCTCAAATCTTATCGCAATGAGTTATAAAAATCAATTCCAATAACGTCCGCTCTATAAAATAAGTTATTGACGAACTACATTCTTTTGTACTGTAAATCGTTTGAGCAATATTTATATATAACTAGCAAATTCGTGGAATTTATATCACTGGCTTGCAGGACATATTCTAGGTAAACATTATTGAGGTTAGGTTTAAACATGTGAGTATCGTGCTGTTGAGACATAATGTATAGCTTGAAACTGGAAGAAAAAAAGCCTTATAAAGAAGTTAGACTTTTTATTCAACATGTAGGTATTACGGTGTAGATTAATCGTTTAATCCGTCATAATTTACTAACCTCATTAATTATCCGTAAATGTGCATAATGACATCGGTTGGCAAACCTAGCATGAGTCGGATGTGCATACGAAATTTGGTTGACATATCTTCACAACATCTACAGCAATTATCACACGAAAACCAAAGAGTGGCCGAGATGGGTGGAAAGACAGAGGAACACAAACATTGTTATCAAGTTTGAAGGAATTTGACTAATATTTGCTAGAGTTATCAAGCGGAAACTGCAGATAATGACGTTTTTCGTTGCTCAAGGGGCCATAACTCCGCCAAATGCAGTCCGATTAAAGTGGTCATCGCACTCGGCTGAGCCCTTAAGGCATTTAACCCTGGTTTTGAAGAAAATCGATTAGCATTTGTTGCAGTCATTGCACGGAAACGAAGCGTGACGGACAGACGGACAAACCAAAATTATTATTCCCCGTTTCGGTGAAGGCGGGGGATAAAAAGACAGGATTAGTGCGCTAGTTATATTCGACAGACTGTCTATACACGATGTGAGAGTGTTACAACGGGTATGTTTTAACAATGACATGGAATCATGACTATCATTAATCTGTAGTTTTAACAATGACATGGAATCACGACTATATCATTCATCTGTAGTTTTAACAATGACATGGAATCACAACTACATGTATATCATTAATCTGTAGTTTTAACAATGACATGGAATCACGACTATATCATTAATCTGTAGATTTAACAGAGACCACATAGCCATTAGAAGTATTGACTCCAAATACCTTGGTTTCATAACAGGTTTTTGTAAGATATGTTAGGTGTTTGGGAGAGGAATCACTAAATTTATGCTGCACTCGCATTTCGATGATTATTTTCTTTTGATTAATATATTCGATAATGCCTGAAAACAATTACGTATAATGCACCACATTGATTGAATGAAGCAACTTCATAGTTTAAAGATAGTGAGTATATGGGCCAGATGACAGAAATGAGTAAGACAAGAATCGAAAAAAAATCAAATTATAATTTAAGATAGATAATTTAGACATAACTGGTGAATCACAGAAAAAGTAAACAATTCGAAGAGACACAAAAAAGCACGTACATGTACTTAATTATCCTAAGGTTATCAAGAAAAATCAACAAAAATCACCGGTACAATATGCAAGAAAGAATGTATACATAAATAGCAAAAAAAAATGTACAGGCATTAGAAATTGACATAATGGCACTCAAAGAAAAGATAAATCACAATACACATACCACGTGGACAGATATATTTCTACTAAGTTATATATAGAGTTATATATAAATACTGTATCAATGATTGTGTGTTCGTGGCTGATTTTTTTCGTCTCCGTTAGTAACAAAGCTATTTTGTCGTAAGTCCAGATGTAAGCTTTATTTGTGGTATATTGTCCTTCGAGGTTGGATACATTACTTTGAATTTCTATCCAACTTAAAACAAGCGTGTCATATGCAATACAGTCTTTTTTAGATACTCGTAAGCTGCGTTTTCAATAAACCAGATAACTCGTTATCCTGCTCATATTTGTCGTGATCATAATTATTTAAATTACCGATGTCCGATGTTCTATTAATGCGTTCGGTAAGGCACTCTTTCCTTGTACGGACTGTTATCAATAAAGAAACACATTCGCCTATCGTTCGGATTGTATGAAAAGCATATAAGCTTTGTTTATGTCCTAGGAAAAACAACCTGGCATCTTAAACTAGAAACAAAAAGGAATGTAGCAGCACTAAAACACGTGTGTCAATAATTTTGCCTATTATAAAATAGTATATGTTGTTTTTGCCGAAAGCTCTTTATGATACGGGCATTATTGTGGGATATAGCCGTCTGTTATAAACTTCCAAAGTTTAATTTGTTCGACCGATCTGAATCCATAATCTTCTTTCAAATTTTCCTTTGTAAGTTCACCCAGAATAACGCCATCAATCATATCTTCGGCAAACCGCTCAACGTATTTGTCTAGACGCATTTTCCTTAAATATTCCCCAATATCATCTACCGACAATGCCAATAAATGTTGTTTTCCTCCAGTAGACTTGTCTTTATCGTCTGATTGGTTGGAAGCTGCTTCCTGTTTGGTTTCCGTAGGAACAATGTTATTACCGCCAAATCCAGAGGATGACACTGTAGGTACTGTAGGAACAATGTTATTACCGCCAAATCCAGAGGATGCCACTGTAGGTACTGTAGGAACAATGTTATTACCGCCAAATCCAGACGATGACACTGTAGGTATTTTCTTTTCGCCTGTCTGACTCTTTATCTCCGTTGTAGGTTGGGGAACATTACTTAACACTTCGTACATATCGTCGGGCTCCTTCATATACATGTAATCTGCCTCGCTGAACAACTGGTTTTCTTTAACTGTAGAACTTGTTGGGTCTGGTAGAGGTCCTCGTCCCGGTACAGGGCTTTTCCCTGTTGACTGAAGCTTCGTTGCAGGTTTTTGGGTTGATGTCTGCGGCAAAACAGATTTCTTTTGGGGTCTAGGTGGCGCTGCTGGAGTTTTAGATGTTGACGGTATGGGATGAACAATCGCTGCATTTTCGTAATACTTTTTGGGGTATAATGGAGCGTCAGTTGTTTTTTTTATTGGTGTTGGTGGCGATTCCTCCGACCTCGGCGGTAATGGTGGTTTAATAGTCGGCTCAGGTGGCCTCTCATACCAATCGTCTGAATCATCAGAACTTTCATTTTTCTCTGTGTCCGGTTTATGTTCAACCGGAAGTAAGGGTGGGTTAAGTTTTGGGAGAATATTTCCGGTTCCGGTACCCTCAGAAGTTATTTTGGTTATACCTGATAAAAAAAATGAAAACGTTTTAAACTCCCGTAGATGCTTTCCTCTTTCTGTGATATTGTTGGGGAAATATGTAATTATCATCATTTAACTTGACAAAGATCACATGCTTTCTACTTCATGCCTACAATGAACCCAAAGGACATAACAATACACAACATATATATACTTTTATCACGTAATGTACTGTGTTATCCAGTGAATATACCCATGTCATATTATTTTGCGTATTAACCGTTGGTATATGACCTATCAGTCCAGTGATTGGTTGTAAGTTTCAATTGTTTAAATTGTGACGTCACGCCTTAGACAAGTACATGACGTCACGGACTTACGCATTGAAGTCAAAATGGCGGCTGTTTACATTTCAAGGTTGCATGAATAGATGCCACAAATTTTGATTATGTGATAAAATGGATCTTACACTCGTTTTCATTTCATATGAAGCTTATGAAACTCATCACACATTATATTGTTTAGGTGGCCAGAGGCTCGCTAAATTGAAAATAATCTTAGTCTCGATTCATAAATCTCATATGAAACGGAAACTCATGTAAGATCCTATATTTATGCCACCTATATGATCAATGTATATCAACAATGTAAGGCAAAACATATAACAATGACGGCTCATATGCTAAAAGAAATGCAAGAAAATTTGAAAATTCAAATGTTACCTTTCAACTTTATGATTTATAATTTCATTGATTGAACTTCCATAGTAGTACATACTTGTGTTACCCACAGTGCGATCATACGTCACGTCAGCTAAGGAGGCTTGCAATTTGCTGAGATGTTTTCTGAAGAATTCTGCTGATTTGCCTTGTATCCCCGAGGCAGGTGCCACAGATATAAGAGCACTTACAGCTGCTACCGTAACGGTTTTGCATACTTGGCCTAAAAATATCACAAAACTTGTTTCAATTGAGAAAAAGCACAATGTCAGTATGTGTACGTCATAAACTAAATTCAAACAATGCTGCCTTGTAAATGTTACATATTTTCGTCTATCAGTAATTGTTCTTGACCTAATTACATAACCAGTTGTGTCAAGGAAAGATATGTGTCGCCTGGCCAAGTTATCTTTTTCAGGAGTGTTCGTGAAAGCACTAAGCAGCTTTATACATAATCCATTGTGTGAACGGGATAGATACCATAGGAAAAAAACAGGGTACATTGCCATTATTAAAGATGCAAACATGTTATACATATATATTGCCATTTGCTCTGCATCCTTCTATTGCAATGCATTGAGAAGGCAAATGTTGTTTTGAGACTATAACAGCAGTTGCTCTTGTAACGTCATCAATCTATATAGTGACGTCATCAATTTCATTGTTGTAAAGGCTTAATTTGCTGTTCAAAGCGTCACTACTCGATCATAATGTAAATATTAATCATGAATATTTTAGCAAAGGCTGTTATGGTGCCTATAACACACATTTATATTGCTGACAAACTTGCATAAAGCCCTACCGTGGTTACAAGTGTATCATCAATAGCAATGTGTGTTATAGGACCATATCAACATTTGCTAAAACGCTTGTTGTTCAAATGCTATACTGATTACTTAAACGTTGTTGTATGATGTTTTACTCAAGTGAAATGGATATTATACAGTCTAATGTACACGCAACTAATTTTGATTTCATAAAATCTTTTCAAGTGTTATAGGGAAAACACAAGGAGAAAACGAAAGTAGATATGAAAGTTTGCTACTGGGATCACGAGTGAGTGTTTTTATCTCGTGATTAATTGTGACTAGTTGAAATGGCGAACAGGTGTACATACATATCCAAGTGGTACATTCATGTATGTCAGTGGTATTGTCAATAAGGTCACTTGTGACAACACATCCCACACCGTCCACAGCTGAGCGTGTATTTTAACATGTTGATCAATCTAGTCAACCAAATATGCGACACACGTTTACGTTTACCTTCAAAACTGGAAAAATTTTGTATTGATTTTGCTTTTCTAAAGTCTATGTATTCAATCAAATCAGCTCTTACTGTAAATCACCTAGTTTGTTCATATGATATAATTCAAGAGGAAAATCTTTCAAAGATTGAAATATCAGGTGAATATTAATATTACAGACAATTACTGTCAATAATGAAATATAATCTGTTGAATGTTGAATTCAAATATTCGCAAATAAAACCTGAAGGCGCAGTACGCGAAATAAAATACACGCAAAAGTATATGATTAACGTAAGTCTCCTAACATTTTATCTCTTTCTTACTGTAATAATATTGCAGTGTTGTCTTCCATCTATCAGTCAAACGATTTTCTATATCGTAGTATCCGAATTCAATGAAATTATTTGTCATCGGTTTTCTTAATATGTATACGTGTTTATCACTGAAAACTATCGAATCGATTTAATGACCCTGCCGGAAAAAATAAATACCCCCGAATAAAATATCTAGATCATAACTGCAGATTTGTTTTAATGAAATGATAAATTTAAAAACAGTATTATTTGCATTCCAATTTTCCGTCTTTGGAGGTACAATACGACCATGCAATATATATATTGCAGTCATTATTAATAATCCTATAAATGTATGTATAACAAAGCCTAATTGGCTGGGTGTTTTTCCTCTGACTAAAACTACTTCGTAAGACAGAGGTTTCAATAGAAGGACTAGTGACCTAGGTGAATGACAGACAAGGAATAGGAAGTGATAGGCAATCGAAACAGTAGAAGGTTCTGGGTTGTCGATCAGCTTTATTTATATCCTGCAGATATTTCCAGGAAAAAAACAGATGTTATTTATACTCAAATAAAAACGTGCCAAAATATACAATAAAGATGTGTGAAAATCCTCAGTGTTTATATTTCTGTCGCAAGGGGTAAAAAGAGGAAGTTGTGATTGATTGTTTTTGTCACAACCATTCTTATTCTGTTACAATAAAACTTATACAAACCAAATTTACAATGGCGATAATTTTCACAAAAACGTTTAAGTTGTTGCGGAAGCTTTAAGAGGACTTACGAAAAGCTTTGTGCTATTGTTGAACAACAGTATGTGGATGATTCTAGACTGACAGATTTGTTTTTGTTGGCAGATAACATTATCTTTGATTGTCACATTCATAGTTTATAGTGCAAAACACGTAATAAATAATCTGCTAGACAAAACCGCCCAAAACTACATTTAAAGACGTCTCACATGTGAACATATTAATGATAGACAGTATTTAGAAATGAGGAACCGTAATGAACCATGTGTAAGTGAACTGTAATGAAACATGTGTAAGTGAACTGTAATAAAACATGTGTAAGTGAACTGTAATAAAACATGTGTAAGTGAACTGTAATAAAACAGGTGTAAGTGAACTGTAATAAAACATGTGTAAGTGAACTGTAATAAAACAGGTGTAAGTGAAATGTAATGAAACATGTGTAAGTGAACTGTAATAAAACATGTGTAAGCGAACTGTAATAAAACATGTGTAAGTGAACTGTAATGAAACATGTGTAAGTGAACTGTAATAAAACATGTATAAGTGAACTGTAATGAAACATGTGTGAGCGAACTGTAATAAAACATGTGTAAGTGAACTGTAATAAATCATGTGTAAGTGAACTGTAATAAAACATGTGTAAGTGAACTGTAATAAAACATGTGTAAGTGAACTGTAATAAAACATGTGTAAGTGAAATGTAATAAAACATGTGTAAGTGAACTGTAATGAAACATGTGTAAGTGAACTGTAATAAAACATGTGTAAGTGAACTGTTATAAAACATGTATAAGTGAACTGTAATAAAACATGGGTAAGCGAACTGTAATAAAACATGTGTAAGTGAACTGTAATGAAACATGTGTAAGCGAACTGTAATAAAACATGTATAAGTGAACTGTAATAAAACATGTGTAAGCTAACTGTAATAAAACATGTATAAGTGAACTGTAATAAAACATGTGTAAGCGAACTGTAATAAAACATGTGTAAGTGAACTGTAATGAAACATGTCTAAGCGAACTGTAATAAAACATCTGTAAGTGAACTGTAATGAAACATGTGTTAGTGAACTGTAATAAAACATGTGTAAGTGAAATGTAATGAAACATGTGTAAGTGAACCGTAATAAAACATGTGTAAGTGAGCTTTAATAAAACATGTGTAAGTGAACTGTAATAAAACAGGTGTAAGTGAACTGTAATAAAACATGTGTAAGTGAACTGTAATGAAACATGTGTGAGTGAACTGTAATGAAACATTTGTAAGCGAACTGTAATAAAACATGTGTAAGTGAACTGTAATAAAACATGTGTAAGTGAACTGTAATAAAACATGTGTAAGTGAACTGTAATAAAACATGTGTAAGTGAACAGTAATAAAACATGTGTAAGTGAAATGTAATGAAACATGTGTAAGTGAACCGTAATAAAACATGTGTAAGTGAACTGTAATAAAACATGTGTAAGTGAACTGTAATAAAACATGTGTAAGTGAACTGTAATAAATCATGTGTAAGTGAACTGTAATAAAACAATTGTAAGTGAACTGCAATAAAACATGTGTAAGTGAACTGTAATAAAACATGTGTAAGTGAACTGTAATAAAACATGTGTAATAGAACTGTAATAAAGCATGTGTAAGTGAACTGTAATAAAACATGTGTAAGTGAACTATCATAAATCATGTGTAAGTGAACTGTAATAAAACATGTGTAAGCGAACTGTAATAAAACATGTGTAAGTGAACTGTAATAAAACATGTGTAAGTGAACTGTAATAAAACATGTGTAAGTGAACTGTAATAAAACATGTGTAAGTGAACTGTAATAAAACATGTGTAAGTGAACTGTAATAAAACATGTGTAAGTGAACTGTAATAAAACATGTGTAAGTGAACTGTAATAAAACATGTGTAAGTGAACTGTAATAAAACATGTGTAAGTGAACTGTAATAAAACATGTGTAAGTGAACTGTAATAAAACATGTGTAAGTGAACTGTAATAAAACATGTGTAAGTGAACTGTAATAAAACATGTGTAAGTGAACTGTAATAAAACATGTGTAAGTGAACTGTAATAAAACATGTGTAAGTGAACTGTAATAAAACATGTGTAAGTGAACTGTAATAAAACATGTGTGAGTGAACTGTAATAAAACATGTGTACGCGATTAACTGTAATAAAACATGTGTAAGTGAACTGCAATAAAACATGTGTAATTGCAGATATTGAGAGATTTTACGCTGGTAAGTTTCCCATTAAAGCCTTTTTAAGATCTGTGAATAACATAAACGTATTTTTCCCGAATCTCTCTCAATAGTTACCGTTCATCACACAGTTTCCTAGAAGGAAGTTCTCGGTATACTCCCGAGTCAGCAGTATCGTGGCGTACGAAGACACATCCTCTCGACTAGTTCCTACGTAGATCTCCGACACATCAGGCGCAAACGTCACAGGTATCGGGAACGGGTTCTCACTCACAATTTCCTCCAAGGTTTTAGGTGCCTCTTGAACTTTAAAAAAAAAAACATCTCTCCCATGAAAGTAAAAAATTCCCTCAGGATATTTTGGATAACTCCGTGTTTACTAAGAACATATCGATACACCATCTATGCATGTTATCAATCAAATCCTCCACTACGACATTCATGCTAATACATTGCTAAATATTTCCGTATCTCCGTTTTTAAATATAAATGCAACCACACTTATTTGCTTCATTACATACTTAAATACTGTAATTGTGTAGTCGTCGAAGGAGGTCAAAGATATGTTTGTCAACCAAAGCAATCACTCTTAACATTGTATGGGGATCGCCTTTATCGAAAAGGTTAGTTTTTAAACAAATGAAAAATTGGTGTCTTTTCTATCGTTAAAATTGGATAAGTTTGTATCTTTAATTATAAAGTGGATCATTATTGACCTCACTAAAATCATTGGATCATTATGAAACTCTATAACATCATTTAATCATGACTGACCTGTATGAACTTACCTGACCTGTGACCCCTAACTACACAGAACTTGTGTGTAGTACTGATCGGGATGGAGAGATAGATGTCGATATATCGGTCGTACACCTTCGTTGCCTTGGCAACTATACGTCTCTGGTTCGAGTACGTTTGTACTCGATATATCTGTAAACAAGACAATACACATTTTATAAAATACGATTTGACGAAAGGATAAAGCATACAAATATTCAGTGCACGAATCCAAAGTTTGTTTTTCCTGTATGATATAAGAAACGATGGAAAGTTACCTTCGTGGAGGCGTCAATGTTCTTGGGGGAATGTGTATTTATGTCTCAAAATTATGAAGTAATTTCATACCTGGTCACTGCAGAAGTCATCATAAATAGTCTCGCCATAGTTCCCACCAGTAATGTACACTAATAGAGGAAATCTTTCCTTGTAGATCTCGAAAAATTCTGGCCAGTCTAACTCCTCCTCATCTTTATACATGTACTCCATTACATCGGAGTTCTGACTGTAAACAAAAATAAATAAATATAACATCAAATGCTGTAAATCAGCCCAGGCTTCATTTCGCGAACAATATTTTTTGGATTTTTTTTGCGCAAATACTTCAATTTGCAATGTAGATTATGCCATATTAATGTCGATGGTAATTTTCGTCTGAATAGTATTTGCGTAAGATGAGTGCTCTCGAGAATATACGGAAAAACCAAACACACGCAAAACAATATGTTTAAGAGTATGATGTTGAAACACTCTAATATGTCCATAGGATTACTTCAGTTATTGGTTAGGTAGCAATAAGATGTTATTACTATTTCTTCATAATTATACCGCAAGTAACACCAGCAAGATCTAGTGCATTCTGTCATTTTAATCAAACATGGTGTGTTTACTCCACGTAAAAAGTATTTAATTAAAGCTACAAGAAAATAAACTTTGATAATTTAACAAGTTATTACTACTCAGTATTGTTCAATGTTGTATATCCTTATTTTCAGATACTGCGAAAGTCGAAATTGTCCGGTGTGTAAGTCACACTAAAACGGATCGCAATATAGACATTTCGCGTTGTCAATGATACTGAGATCAATATTTATGACACAGGAAAGAGAATAGTGTGCTCCCACCGGGGATCGAACCCTCGATCTCCAGGTTCCTAGTCGGACGCTCTACCACTGAGCTAAAGGGAAAATCCCTCTGTCTCGAAGCTAGAAGGTGACCTTAATCCTATGTACAATATATACATTGTGTATCTTGCGAGGATATTCATTTAGTTTATTTACTCTAATCGATAAATTTCCCTCTTTTACAGTATATTGATGTCTCTCATATCTTTAAAAGATTATCTGAAATCACTTCAAGGTGATTTCAACGTTTTCTTGTAAATAATTTTGCCGAGAAATATTTACGTAAAGTCGACGAAATCCATTTCAGTATCCCTGACTTGAACAGCTTTAAATTGCGCTGCTTCAATGTGCTGTTGAGGGGTGCTTCTGTGATGTATGCACCCGCATTCGGACCTATTCGTAGTTCCCGGCTATATGACGTTTCGGAAGGACGCTTGTTCCAATCAGAAAGTCCGGGCATTAAGTGGCATCACAATGCTGAAGCATAAAATAGGAAGCTTGTTGATTAAACTATCACATAATACTGTAAACACTAATGTTTTAGCGGTAATTTCATTTTAGCGCTTTTGGCTGTTTATGTCTATAAGTCGTCGTCTGTTGTATATAAGTGTTTTATTAATGATATATAAAAATCCGATTATGCACTAAATTCGTCTACAATTACGTAAGAACAATGCCGTCTCTGGCAGTGCATTGTCTACATGTAAATAATGTAGAAAGTACATTATAGGTAAACACAACAATGTCCTGTAAGACAGTGCAGAATAGATCATGTAGTTAGTACATTATTTTATAACAGTGTTGGGTAAGACAGTTAATAGCCTAGATAATAAAATTGTAAGGATATTATAAATACACATCAATGCTGTGTAATATAATGGATAGCCTAGATAATGTAGTAAGTACATTATAGATATATATCAATGTTGTGTAATGTAATGGATAGTCTAGATAATGTAGTAGGTACATTATAGATATACATCAATGTTGTGTAATGTAATTGATAGTCTAGATAATGTAGTAAGTACATTATAGGTATACATCAATGTTGTGTAATGTAATGGATAGTCTAAATAATGTCGTAAGTACATTATAGATATACATCAATGTTGTGTAATGTAATTGATAGTCTAGATAATGTAGTAAGTACATTATAGGTATACATCAATGCTGTGTAATGTAATGGATAGTCTAGATAATGTAGTAAGTACATCAATGGTGTGTAATGTAATTGATAGTCTAGATAATGTAATAAGTACATTATAGATATACATCAATGTTGTGTAATGTAATGGATAGTCTAGATAATGTAGTGAGTACATTATAGATATACATCAATGGTGTGTAATGTAATGGATAGTCTGGATAATGTAGTAAGTACATTATAGATATACATCAATGTTGTGTAATGTAATAGATAGCCTAGATAATGTAGTAAGTACATTATAGCTATACACCAATGTTGTGTAATGTAATGGATAGTCTAGATAATGTATTAAGTGCATCAATGATGTGTAATGTAATGGATAGGCTAGATAATGTAGTAAGTACATCAATGGTGTGTAATGTAATAGATAGTCTAGATAATGTAATAAGTACATTATAGATATACATCAATGATATGTAATGTAATGGATAGTCTAGATAATGTAGTAAGGACATTATAGATATACATCAATGTTGTGGAATGTAATAGATAGCCTAGATAATGTAGTAATTACATTATAGATATACATCAATGTTGTGAAATGTAATGGATAGTCTAGATAATGTAGTAAGGACATTATAGATATACATCAATGTTGTGTAATGTAATGGATAGTCTAAATAATGTCGTAAGTACATTATAGATATACATCAATGTTCTGTAATGTAATGGATAGCCTAGATAATGTAGTAAGTACATTATAGCTATACACCAATGTTGTGTAATGTAATGGATAGTCTAGATAATGTAGTAAGGGGGGGATAGATATACATCAATGTTGTGTAATGTAATGGATAGTCTAGATAATGTAGTAAGGGGGGGATAGATATACATCAATGTTGTGTAATGTAATAGATAGCCTTGATAATGTAGTAAGTACATTATAGATAGGCATCAAGGATGTGTAATGTAATGGATAGTCTAGATGATGTAGTAAGTACATTATAGATATACACCAATGGTGTGTAATGTAATGGATAGTCTATATAATGTAGTAAGTACATTATAGATATGCATCAATGTTGTGCAATGTAATGGATAGCCTAGATAATGTAGTCGGTACATTATAGATATACATCAATGTTATGTAATGTAATGGATACCCTAGATAATGTAGTAGGTACATTATAGATATACATTAATGTTATGTAATGTAATGGATAGTCTAGATAATGTAGTAAGGACATTATAGATATACATCAATGTTGTGAAATGTAATGGATAGTCTAGATAATGTAGTAATTACATTATAGATATGCATCAATGTTGTGCAATGTAATGGATAGCCTAGATAATGAAGTAAGTACATCAATGGTGTGTAATGTAATGGATAGGCTGGATAATGTAGTAAGTACATTATAGATATACATCAATGTTGTGTAATGTAATAGATAGCCTAGATAATGTAGTAAGTACATTATAGATATGCATCAATGTTGTGCAATGTAATGGATAGCCTAGATAATGTAGTAAGTACATCAATGGTGTGTAATGTAATGGATAGTCTAGATAATGTAGTAAGTACATTATAGATATACATCAATGATATGTAATGTAATGGATAGCCTGGATGATGTAGTAGGTACATTATAGATATACATCAATGTTGTGTAATGTAATGGATAGTCTAGATAATGTAGTAAGTACATTATAGGTATACATCAATGTTGTGTAATGTAATGGATAGCCTAGATAATGTAGTAGGTACATTATAGATATACATCAATGCTGTTTGAAGCATAGGAGCTTTACTAATTGGCGTTGGTACATCATACCTTCATCATATTGAGTAGAGGGAATAAACCATGTTAAGAGAGATACCTAGGTAACCTTAGTTATGTGTAATGGAAAGTTACACCTCACGGGTTAAGCTATTCTATAACTTGTGTAAGATATTTGGTAAATTTATTATGTGGGTGTTTCTTAGAATCATGTTCAGAAAATGCATGAAATGCATGAATCATAATCGCGAGACAGCTATATATTAGCCAAGTATGTGAATTGTTATCCCCTATAACGTTTTCATCAAGTATGGATTTTGTTAAACAATATATATGTATAATAGATTATGAACTATGCCTCAATTTTCTGGTAAAATATAATTGTGAAAGTAGAATATGTAAAATCCATGTTGTGTTTACATTCTGGGGTAATATCTGAACACTAAACACAGACTCGGATAACCACCCCATTAACTAAACAAGGGCAGATATTAGTGTATGTACACACATATAAGATTAAGATTATAAGTATGCCATATCTGGTGAAACAAAACTAATAAGTAAGGATATTGTCTGCTGGTCAACATTATCAGGTACTGCAGCAGCAGGTAAACCACTACAAACAACCAGGAAATAAATCAATGAAAGTTAGGGTTTTTAAATGAAGTATTATTCTCAACACCCCCCCCCCCCCCCCCCCCGATAAATAACTTGCATAACTGGAGGTCTATGAATATTAGAATCACCTTGGTTGCTAAATCCCACTTCATGATAATCATATTCAATGTAGGGGCCTTTGTATAAAAAGACCCCCCACCCCCCACCTCTCCCCCACCCATCCACCCCCAACACAGAACAACAAGAATATACTCACATGAGGTGCTAGACACTGGAAACCAACGTATATATCCGACTAGTATTACCCGTTAGTGATCTGAACACGTAACCAGATCAAACTAAGTATCCTTCCTCGTGCTTCATATCTTAAACCCACGACCGATATGTGTACGATAACACAGATCTATTTAAAAACCAGGAAGTGTAAAGGTCAATAATGTTTCCTACAAAGCGCACAGTGTTCATAGAAAAAAAAGGATGTTTCAGTTTTGTTAATCTATTGAATATCTCAAACACGTCCTGATTAGACGCATAATAGTGTATAGGGGTAGACACAGAGAAGTTTCAGCTTTAGGTTAGTGGTCTGTGAATCACATGTACTATCACATCATATGTATTGCTATACGAACATGTGTGTTATAGTTGTGTTCCTTAAGTCACATTTATAACAATAAAAAAAAGCGTATTTCAAAATTTCTATAGTCCGTTTGAAAATAAATTACCTTACCGATAGCGTGTGTTGAATCATGTATACTACCCATATAAACAAATAAAAGGTGACCTGTCTCTAGTTTCTGTACTCCGAAATTACGATAGAAGAAAGTTCATTAAAAACGTTGTCCGATTGGGTAATTTTGACCAACATTTATTTTCCTTTTCTTGCGGCGAAAGTACAACAGGATTGGGCACAATTAGTTACTACCTTGTCAAAGACCTTCCAATTATCACAAGTATGTGATATAAGAGTACGGCATAAAAGGTAGTTAATGCGAAGCCCATAGAATTATCTTTATTTTAAAATTCAGAATTAATAATAAAGAAAGTACAAATCTGTAGGTGACCAATTTCCATTGCATTCGGCGTACTCAATTAAAAAAAAAAAAACAGAAACAAGTTAACAAACAAAAAGAAAAACATGGAAAACTTAAATATCAATTTTCTCCAAATTATGTCCAACTGTGAAATTAAACTCGTCTAGGTATATTAACTTATCCGCAACAAAAATGTATTAGATGACATACGTACGACAGAGTTATTTCCCTTAAACCAATTACTTTTACATGGATGTGCATTGAAGTTCTCAACATTAGTTCTCCACTCGAGTAAAGGTTTTACGAAATTAGCCTCGTCTGGGTGTATTGATAGCCCAAGTTTCCTCTGGCCCTAACAACACTTAGACATTTTGACATATAGATGTCTCCACACCAGACAACTATGTCAAAATGTCTAAGTCTGGGGTTAGGGCCAGAGGAAACACGGGCTAGTGTTTTGGCAGACGAGGCTAGTACCTGTAAACAGTACATGTTCTAGCCTCGTCTGGGTGCTTTGACAGACGGACTAATACCTGTGACTTGAGGTAACATTGTTGTGAAATGTAGTACAGGTTTTAGCCTCGTCTTGATATAGTGACCGACGAGGCTATATATATAGTACCTATGAATGGAGTAACGTAGCCTCCCCTGGGTGTAATGACAAACAAGGCTAGTACCTGTGACTGGGGTTAACATTTAAGTACACAGAGGTACAGGTTATACCTCGTCTGTGTGTCTTGACAAACAAGGCTAGTACCTGTGACTGGGGTTAACATTTAAGTACACAGAGTACAGGTTATACCTCGTCTGTGTATCTTGACAAACAATGCTAGTACCTGTGACTGGGGTTAACATTTCAGTACACAGAGTACAGGTTATAGCCTCGTCTGTGTGTCTTGACAAACAAGGCTAGTACCTGTGACTGAGGTTAACATTTAGGTACACAGAGTACAGGTTATAGCCTCGTCTGTGTGTCTTGACAAACAAGGCTAGTACCTGTGACTG